ATATATATATAATTTATTTATTTATTTGATTTTTTTATTAGTTAATAACGTGTTGTTTCAAGCTGAATATAATCCTGAAAACATGGCACTTAAATTTTAAAACTTTTAAATTACTTCAAATCTGTTTATTTAGGTTCAGTAAAATGTCATCAGTTTATAGACTAAAGAAAAAATTATTACACATTATAAATTCAGAGAAAATGGGAATTTATAATTTGTATAATTTGTATAATTTGTAACTTTTTTCACGGTGGCTCAGTGGTTAGCACTGTGGCCTCACAGCAAGAAGGTTGCTGGATCAAGCCCCAGCTGGGTCAGTTGGCATTTCTGTGTGGAGTTTGGATGTTATCCCCGTGTTGGCGATATGGATATTTTAGGGCAAATCTAAATGAGCTCCACCACTGTTTTTTCTTCAAGGTCAGCGTTTTATAACTCATTTTAAGCTACAGTCATTTCCATAACTGCAGATCCTGAAACTCTGGCACAGGTCTTAATCTCTGTGGCTGAAGAATTAAGACTTTGCAGATGTTGGCTGCAGATGTTTTGTGGTTCGAAAGGGCCACGCTTGGTTTGTTTGAAGAACAGGGACTCTTTCAAGGGTCAGGCTTGGATTTATCATTCAGCAGATTAAAGATTTCCTCTGTAGTTGTGTATTAACAAAGTAAATATTTGTTCACAGGCACGTATTTTTAAGGTCTTAAAGGAACAGTTCACCCAAAAATGAAAATTCCCTCATCATTTACTCACACTTCATTTGTTCCAAACAAGTTGGAGTTTATTTCTTCTGTAAAACACAAAAGAAGACACTTTGAAAAATGTTGAAAAAAAAACAGCCATTGACTTCCAAAGTATTTTTATTTTTCCTACTATAGATGTCAATGGTTATTTCTCTCCCCCTCAACATTCTTAAGAGCATATTTATTTTGTTTTCAACAGAAGAAAGACATTTATCAATGTTTAGAAGCACTTCAAATATCAAAAATAAGTCAACTGCCTTTTCCTAAAAAGTTTGTTGCACATTATTCATCAAGACAAACCAGAAAAAGCTTCATCTGTTCATATTTCAGGGTCATTTTGCAAATTTGTTCACAGACAGGCGTTTTAAAGGTCCCAAAATGAAAATTCTGTCATCATTAACTCATCTTCCACTTGTTCCAAACATATTTGAGTTTCCTTCTTCTGTAGAACACAAAAGAAGATACTTTGAAAAATGTTGGAAAACTTCCATAGTGTTTTGTTCCTTCTATGGATATCAATGGTTGTTTTTCCCCCAACATTCTCAAGAGTATATTGTTTTGTTTTCAACAGAAGAAACAAATCCATAAAAGTTTAGAAGCACTTCAAATATAGGTCAACGCCCTATACTTGATAATTTTGTTGCACATTATTTACCAAGACAAACCAGAAAAAGCTTCATCTGTTCATATTTTAGGGTCATTTTGCATATTTGTTTGCAGACAGGTGTTTTTTTAAGGTCTTAAAGAGACAGTTCACCCAAAAATGAAAATTCTCTCATCATTAACTCATCTTTCATTTGTTCCAAACATATTTGAGTTTCTTCCTTCTGTAAAACACAAAAAAGATACTTTGAAAAATGTTGGAAAACTTCCATAGTATTTTGTTCATTCTATGGATGTCAATGGTTATTTTCCACCAACATTCTTGAGAGCATAACTGTTTTGTTTTCAACAGAAGAAAGACATTTATCAAAGTTTAGAAGCACTTCAAATATCAAATATAAGTCAACCGCCTTCTCCTGATAAGTTTGTTGCACATTTTTCATCAATATTTCAGGTTTGTTTTGCATATTTGTTTGCAGACAGGTGTTTTTTCAGGTCTTAAAGAGACAGTTCAGCCAAAAATGAAAAATCGGTCCATTTACTCACACTTCATTTGTTCCAAACATATTTGAGTTTCTTTCTTCTGTAGAACACAAAAAAAAGATACTTTGAAAAATGTTGGAAAACTTCCATAGTATTTTGTTAATTCTATGAATGTCAAAGGTGGCTGTTTCACCAACATTCTTAAGAGTATATTGTTTTGTTTTAAACAGAAGAAACAAATCCATAAAAGTTTAGAAGCACTTCAAATATAAATCAACGGCTTCATCTGTTCATATTTCCGGTTTGTTTTGCATATTTGTTCGCAGACAGGTGTTTTTTAAGGTCTTAAAGAGACAGTTCATCCAAAAATGAAAATTCTGTCATCATTAACTCATCTTTCACTTGTTCCAAACATATTTGAGTTTCTTCCTTCTGTAAAACACAAAAGAAGATACTTTTAAAAATGTTGGAAAAAACAGCCATTGACTTCCAAAGTATTTTTTGTTTCTACTATTGACGTCAGGGGTTGTTTTTACAATTCTACAAATAGTGAATCTACAATTTGTTCTTACAGACTTCTTCTAATGTGAATCAATTTGTGCATATTAGTCATTCAAATATCAAATATAAACCACCACACATATTTCACAAGTTCACACTTACAGATATTTGACTGAATAGAATATTGTATCAATTTTTGTATTGTAATACTGACGTCAAAAAGACACCCTAACTTGTGTTATTCCTCTTATCAGGATAGCCAAAGAGAGAGAAAGGGTCCGAGCACAGTGTCTAGCCTGGCTCCAGAACGCTCCCACCTCAGATTTAAGTAGGTATCGGGTTTAATAGTTAGTAGTTGGGGTGGTGGAGGGATGCTGAAGTTGAGAGAAAACAGGGCTACGACGTTTTTGACTATTTATAGGGGTTTGGGCTTAAGTTGATCGGATACTAGAATGATTGTCAATAATACTGAATTAGCCTCGTCAAAACTGATTGTGTCTCTCCTGAAATTTGTTTATAAAAAATCACTACTCATCAAGACATACCAGAAAAAGCTTCATCCATTATTATTTCAGGGTCATTTTGGAAGAATGTGTCATGCTTTTTCTCTCTCTCTTTTGAAAAAGCTATTCCAAAAATTCAGCTTCTGATACTTTGTGTGTCTGTTTATTGCAACATTATGGCAGGTTGGCCACATGTTACCGATTTAAATTACTGAATAAACAGGAACTAATTCAGTTCATGTCTCGGAGTAACATTTATTTACTGGGGAGTAATATATTTGCCAGGTTTTTTAAATAAAATTTTTTTTTTGTTAATATAGTCATCTTTTGTGATAATTAGGGATAATTAGCACACAAATAAATGCATTTCTGTGAAATTAATATTACATTTTATTCTGCATGTTTTTCTGGATGGATATTAACATTATTTACTAGTCTAATTAGCTTCTAATAACAGTAATACAATCGAATGCAAAATTATTAGCCCTCCTGTGAAATTTTACATCTTTTTCTAACATATCCAAATTTCAGTTTAACAAAGACTTTTTTTCCAACACATTTTAAACATAATAGTTTTAATAACTAATTTCTTTTGTCTTTTGCCATCATGACGGTTCATAATAATTAACTAGATATTTTGCGATACACTAGTATTCAGCTTGAAGTGTTATTTAAAGGCTTATCTGGGTTAATTAGGCAAGTTAGAGAATAATATTCACCTCTAAAATGATTTTAAAAAATTAATAAATCTTTCAGCCAAATTAAAAGAGCAAAAAAAAAGGCTTTCTCATGAAGACAAAATAGAATAAGAGATACTTTGAAAAATGTCCTTACTTTGTTGAACATCACTTGGGAAACATTTGAAAAGGACTTAAAATTTCACAGGAGGGCTATATTTTATGTATGTATATAAATATATATTATTAAATATAATGAATATAAGCGCTGGGCAAATATTTATCACGATTAATAAAAGTTTGTTTTGACATAATTTAAGTGTGTGTACTCTGTATATGTATTATAAAGGCACACATGCATGCATATACTTGAGACTGTTCTTATTAAATTGTTATTAAATGTTTTGACACACACAAACATTACATCAAAACAAACTTTTTTTTCGATGCGATTAATACTTGCCCAGCACTATACACTCACTAGCCACCGGGAACTGGACCCCCTTTTGCCTTCAGAACTGCCTTAATCCTTTGTGGCATAGATTCAACAAGGTACTGGAAATATTCCAATGAGATTTTAGTCTATATTGACATTGTCAGCTACACATCCATGATGCGAATCTCCCGTTCCACCACATCCCAAAGGTGCTCTATTGGATTGAGAACTGGTGACTTTGGAGGCCATTTGAGTACAGTGAACTCATTGTCATGTTCAAGAAACCAGTCTGAGATGATTTGCGCTTTATGACATGGCGAGTTATCTTGCTGGAAGTAGCCATCAGAAGTGGAGTACACTGTGGTCATAAAGGGTTGGACATGGTCAGCAACAGTACTCAGGTAGGCTGTGGCATTGACACGATGCACAATTGGTACTAATGGGCCCAAAGTGTGCCAAGAAAATACAAGGCAGGATGGATCCATGCTTTCATGTTGTTGATGCCAAATTCTGACCCTACCATCTAAATGTTGCAGCAGAAATCGAGACTCATCAGACCAGGCAACGTTTATCCAATCATCTATTGTCCAATTTTGGTGAGCCTGTGCAAATTGTAGCCTCAGTTTCCTGTTCTTAGCTGACAGGAGTGGCACCCGGTGTGGTCTTCTGCTGCTGTAGCCCATCCGCCTCAAGGTTGGACGTGCTGTGCGTTCAAAGATGCTCTTCTGCAGACCTCAGTTGTAACCTCTTGACCATATCTACATGCCTAAATGCATCGAGCTGCAGCCATGTGATTGGCTGATTAGAAATTTGTGTTAACCATCAGTTTGAAAGGTGTACCTAATAAAGTGGCCGTTAAGTTTACATTAATTAAAAAAACATTTAAAAAATATTCATATTTACTTACCATTAAAGAAATAATGAAAGTGCTTCCTTGGCATAAAAGCAAAAAAGGTATATACACATATTAAACAAAGTATCATTTATATTAGATTAAAAAAAACACCCAATACAAGTTTTTCTGTGTTTCAGCAAATAACATTTAACAAACAACTGAAAACCCGTTTGAAAGGTTTATTTGGAGACTTTCAACGAACACGAAGATACCCAGCCGTCTGAACGTGAAAAGTGAAAGCATGATTATTTCCTAAGGAGAGCACTGAACGCTTCGTGAACTAATAAAAAGCCCCCTGTGGTGGTCCATCATTAATTAAACCCTTCTCGAATATTTTAGTTCCCTTTCCCAGAGATCTTTGGCGGAGTGCAGATGGTTAGACTGAAATGAAGCAGGATTATTGTGTGACTTGATCCTGGCATCGCGTCCATGCTAAAGAAAAACACGCTACGGCTCCTGTGGAGTTAGAGGAGAGAGTCTGCGGGTTTGTTTAGGTGTGTGTTCAGATGCTCAGCGTGTTGAGCGCTGGCACAATGGTGACCGTGTCGGCTGTGTTTTGATTCTGATCGTGTTTTGGTTCTGACCCTCTGCTCTGTAAAACCTTCTGTCTGTGTCTCTCCTCTTGACGCTTCTTCTTCTCCAGCCGCTGCTGCTCTTTCCTTTGTTTATTAGAGAGCTAGGAAACACAACAAATAATAGTTTTAGTTTCATTCTTTTTTTCTTATTTAGTGTTATTTTACTTGAACAAAAAACAAACAACCAAACAAACCAACCAACTTGAAAACATTTGTTAATTTAAACAAAATTTTTGCCAAAATTGTAGTTTAAAGAAGTGATGAACTAAAATAACCTGAATAAAAAAAGGACTTTGTAGACATATTAAAAAATAAACATAATGTTAGTTATAATATTATTAAAAATTGCATTATTGCACAAAATGTAATATAATGAATTATATTATATAAAACCTATATTATTTTAATATTTTTATTTCCATTTCTGAACGGAAATAAATATGGATGAAAATACACAACAGTTAAAAAGTGCATTATTGCACAAAATATAATATTAATAATTATATTATATAAAGGGTGATGCAGTGGCGCAGTTGGTAGTGCTGTCGCCTTATGGCAAGAAGGTTCCTGGTTTGAGCCTTGGCTGGGTCAGTTGGCGTTTCTGTAAGGAGTTTGCATGTTCTCAGGGTTTCCTCCAGGTGCTCCGGTTTCCCTCACTGTCCAAAGACATGCGCTACAGGTGAATTGGGTAGGCTAAGATTGTCTGTAGTGAATGAGTGTATATGGATGTTTCCCAGAGATGGGTTGCAGCTGGAAGGGCATCCGCTACATGAAACATGTGCTGGATAAGTTGGCGATTCTTTCCACTGTGGCGACTCCGGATTAATAAAGGGACCAAGCGGAAAAGAAAATGAATGAGTATTATATAAAAAACTATTTTATTTCAGTTTGGTGCCAAGCCCAAATTTTGTTTTCATTTCCAAACTAAACTGAAATAAATATGTACACAATTATACTGAGAAATGAACAAAAATACACAACAAGTTTAATCTTTAACTAAAATAAAACAACAAACACTTAATATTATTAATAATAATAATAATAAATAAAACTTACATAATTATATTGAGAAATGAACAAAAACACAACAAAACTTAACTTTAACTGAAAAAAAGTAATAATAGTAATTACAAATACATATATAATTAATAATAATAAATATAATATATTATTAAAAAATAAATAAACAAATAGATTAAATCAAATGTATAATTTCCCGTAATTACAAAATCAGCATTTCTTATATTTATTTACTACAACTTAATGTGCTAAAACTAAAAGCAAAATTTTTAATATATAAGGTATGCGAACATAAAAAGCTAAAAAAAAAAAAAAAAAAAAAAAAAAGAATACAGTTGAAGTCAGAATTATTAGCCCCCTTTGAATTTGTTTTCCTTTTTCAAATATTTCCCAAATTATGTTTAACAGAGCAAGGAAATTTTCACAGTATGTCTGATAGTATTTTTTCTTCTGGAGAAAGTCTTATTTGTTTTATTTCGGCTAGAATAAAAGCAGTTTTTAATTTTTTAAACACCATTTTAAGGTCAAAATTATTAGCCCCTTTAAGCTATATATTTTCTGATAGTCTACAGAACAAACCATCGTTCTACAATACTCGTCCAATTGTCTTAACCTGTCTAGTTAACCTAATTAACCTAGTTAAGCCTTTAAATGTCACTTTAAGCTGTATAGAAGTGTCTTAAAAAATATCTAGTCAAATATTATTTACTGGCATTATGGCAAAGATAAAATAAATCAGTTATTAGAGATGAGTTATTAAAACTATTATGTTTAGAAATGTGTTGAAAAATACTGCTCTCCGTTAAACAGAAATTGGGGAAAAAAATAAACAGGGGGCTAATATCTCTGACTTCAACTGTAACTAAAACAAAAAATCATAAATAAATTTCAACTGAAATAAAATACTGTATAAAAAAAGTATATCGATTCAATTAGTGCTAGTTTTGTGTTTGCATTTAGTGAAATGTTTTACTGAAAAACAACAGATTTAAATAAAACAAAACAATAACTTAATGTACTAAAAAAATTATTAATAAAAAATTATTAATAAAAAAATTATTAATAAAAAAGATACCTTTTTATCCAAACTACAAAACATAACGTCAAATAAAATAAATACAAAAAAGCTGCCAATTACAAATTACATTAATTTAGTTTAACTTACCATATTAAAATGAAATAATAACAGTAATATATTAAATAATTTATATTTAAAAAAAATTCTTAAAAACAACTAAATATGCAATTAAAATAAATAAATAAATAATACAATTATATATAAATAAAATAATACATCATAAATACTATAAAAGTATTTCAATGATATTAAAAACGTCCAAAATCCATTTTATTTTGTTTTATCCATTTTAAATGTTATTTTTTAAAACTCAGCTACCTTGACTTTATGTAATACTACTTTTTTGTTTTTATTCATTGACATTTCATGTACTAAAACAAAAGATAACTATTAAAAAAATGTAAATTATATCTAATTACAAAAACATTACAATAACAAAATATAACCTTGTATAAAATAAATAGAAAAAAACCGCCAGTTAACAATTTACTTTAATTTGGTTTAACTTAACATACTGAAATATAATAATAATAATAATAATAATAACAATAATAATAATAATAATATAATAAATCATATAGAGAAAAAAATAATTAACACATTTTTGTTTAAAAACAACTAATTAAATTTAAAACAAAATAATATGTTATTAAAATAAATAATAAAAAATATAATTATATATAAATAAAATAATACATCATGAATACTATAAAAGTACCTCAATGATATTAAAAACGTCCAAAATTAACATTTTTATTATTTGAAATCTGTTACCTTGACTTTATGTGAGACTAGTTTCTTGTTTTTATTTATTGAAATTTAATGTACTAAAACAAAAAATAACTAATAAAAAAACATGCAAATAATATAAAATTACAAAAACCTTACACTTAGAAAATATAACCTTATATAAAATAAATACAAAAAAGCAGCCAATGAATTATTTCCTATTTTATTTTAGTTTAACTTTAAATACTTAAATTTCAATAACATATGAATAAATTAATAACAATAAATAACAAAAAACTTTACCAGTATCTAAATAATAATAAAAATAACTCTGAAATATCCAACATTTGATCAATGAAAATAAGTTACCTTTGTTTTATGTGACACGGCGCCCTCTGCTGGCGACGTGTTTTCACTACATTCAGCCTGCAGGCCTTGACATGAAGGCTGTGTTCCTGCAGCCGAATCTCCCTGTGATGATTGGTTGTTGAGTTCAGGCTCTTGCCAATCACTGTGGCTTGCTTCTGATGTGGCACTTGATTGACATAAACTGTCTGACAGACCTGAGCACACACAAAACAACTGGTTGGAGCATGTTGAGAGAGTTTAAAGGTTGAAAACAGTGATATTAAAGGCAGACTGACTGTCAGCGCAGAGGACACTCAAGATCAGCTCTTCATCTTCAGACAGAGAGCGTGACGGAGATGCGCCTCTCGACCTTTCCTTCTGACCCTCGCCAAACCGCCTGGAATTATTCAGACTCTGTTAAAGGAAAACAGGAGAAGATTTAATTCAATTCTATTCATCTTTACTTGTATAGCACTTTTACAATGTAGATTGTGTCAAAGCAGTGTCACAGAAGATTATAGTGCTAAATATTATTAGAATTTAGTAACCAGTCGGGGCTATAGCCTAGCCTACTTATATTCTTTACAACAACATTGCTTTAATGGGAGATTAACTCCCCATTTAGGTGTAGTTAACTGGTGATCTGAGACCTTTAGCCAGGACAGATTACTGTGCATATGTTAATAGTATAATATGCAGCTATTAATTTTTTATTATGCTTGTTTTGACGCATTTAAATGTTGTGGTTTAGAAATAATTAATTATTTACATTTAATGTGGTCAGATATAAATTTGGTAAATCCTTCATTTTGAGCTCTGAAAATTCATGTGAAATAAAAACTAATTGTAATGCTATTGTTGTAAAATAGGAATCATTTTTATTATTTTTGTCTCTTATTCTTTTAATCAACAATTATTTGTATTGGTCATGTAAGGGTCATTTATTAACTGAACTTCTACCGTTGTGGGTGAGTGCTGTGCATACTAATTAGCATTTTTGCAGAAGTAGATAGATGCGGGTCCAAAATTGAATTCAGCTCAGCAGAAACTTCCTGTCTGAAGAGAGGTGTTAAAACTGAACACAGAGCACAGACAGTTGATGCTTTTATTGTTGTGCAGAGAATTCGTAGAAAAAGAGGAAGTATGTCGAAGGTGCGGCCAATGGAGGACTGAACAATGACTGACAAGTGACGTTACACCAAAACTCCACCTGTTAAGATCAGTTGTGTATATATGCTGGAGGCAGGAAATTTATGTTAGTTGCGAACCTCTTGAATGCAATTCTTGTATTGCATTGGGGTAATATAACCCAGAGCTCTGTCATCGAATTATTCATTTGTAATTAATAAATTACTAATATTTTTGGCATTGAAGAAAACCCTCTCCAGACCTTTTCTTATTGAACACGCATGGAATTGGCTAGATATTCCAACACTATGAAACCATGACCCAGTTGCTCATGATAATTGAGCTCATACACAAAATCTAAAGCAAGTAATTTTAGCATGTTAAAGTCAAATTTATGTGTATGAAATATATTTTCCCAACAACAAAATTGTGGCTAGTGAAAATGGTGAGTGGCTATTAATGTTGGAAAACTACTAGCCGCAGTTGCTGGTGATCAAAAGAAGTTCATGTCTAGCCCTAATTATACATGGTCCATGGGCTAGTAATTCAAATATATTGTGAAGGGTAAAATTAACAAAAAATAAAAATAAAAAAAGTCTTTCAATATACAGTACATTCTCCAAAACTCTCACGGAGGACTCCAGAAAATCAGTGTGTTTTTTCGGATGTGTATTTTACCTCTATGCGTAGATGTGCTGGATTCTCTGAATTGTCTCCAGTTTTGCGGACGCTGTCGTAATGATCACCATATCGATATGCGATGTGTAGCTCTCGGCATGATGGCTTCTCTGTACCCTTAATCTAAACAAAGCAACAACAAAAATGAGGCATGAATGAAAAAGCACTTCAGATTCACATGAATATGAAACGAACAAATGCTCCATCACCTCCCACAAAGGAGCGTTCAGCTGATGAATAACCACTTTCAGCTGCTGGCTGCGAGCGAAGGCCACGATGGCGTCATTTCCAGCAAACGTGCCCTGCTGCGAGAGGTTTGTCACTGGGAAAACAAAAAACACAAAGCATTCTTTAAATGACAAGAATTATTTATTGGGGGCCTAGTATGCCCCTATTTACAAGATGTTAAATAAGTCTCTGATGTGCCTAGAGAGTGTATATGTGAAGTTTCAGCTCTAAATAACACAAATAATGTTTAATAACTGCCGCTTTTCGGCTTTGATCCTAATTGTACCGTTTTGGTGACTGTCACTTTAAATTCAAATGAGATTGTGCTCTTTTGAAAAGAGGGCAGAGCTACAACTGCATGTATGTATGTACAGTGGCAGATTCAAAAACAAGACTAACGTCCTATGCTAATGAGGGAGAGGTGGTCACTGATGGGTGGGGCTTTCCCACTCTGATAATACGTACAAAGGGAGAATGTCAATCAAAGTGTTTCAGCTGACTGTTTTTATCAAATGTGATTATTAAAAAAATTAATTAATTATATTTTTTACCATTTAGAAGCTGGTTATATTCACAGATTGTTGCCTCATGACTGTTTAAATTAAATTAAATTGAATTTATCTTTATTTCTATAGCGCTTTTACAATGTAGATTGTGTCAAAGTAGTTTAACATAGACGATAATACTAAAATGAAAGTTTAAGTTCAGTTTAGTTTATTGTGGTTAAATTTTATATGAATTATAAAAGTGATTTCAGTGATAATAGGTTTTTCTGCAGTAATGCACTTGAATACTTTGCTTTTAGTAAGTTTTTTTGTGTTTTGTTAGTACTATTAATTTGGCATTACACTATTTAAGGATATTTTAAAAATATTTAAATTAACATTTTAGTAGTGCTAGGCAAAAAATCATCATGGTTAATCTCATCCAAATTAAACGTTTGTTTTGATAAAATTTAAGTGTGTGTACTATGACCCCTGATAAATAAAGGACAAAGCCAAAGAAAAATGAATGGATGAATCTATATGTATACGACACAAATTATATATACACTTTAATATCTATGCAACAAAATTGTTTTGTACAGATTTATTTCCATGTACACTACCGGTCAAAAGAGTAGGGTCATTTTTTTTTATTCTGTTCATCAAGGCGGCATTTATTAAATGTAAAAAAAAATATATATATATATTTATTTAAATTATTAATTAATTAATAATTATTAATTAAATTATGAATATATTTAAATTAGTTATTGAAATATTTATTTCTTACTTATTGTATGTAGTTTCAAATGAAATTATTACTCCAGTCATTATTGCTTTTATTAATATTACCATTAATAATAATAACAACAACAGCAACAACAACAACAAGAATTATGAATATTAGAGTAATTTCTGAAGGATCATGTGACAGTGAAGACTGGAGCTGAAAATTAATCTTTAAAAATCAGTGGAATAATAATAACATTTCACTATTTTACAATTTGTACTGTGTTTTTGATTAAATAAATGCATCCTTGGTGAGCAGAAGCTTATTTAAAAACATTTAAAAATCATACTCACCCCAAACTTTTGACGGGTTGTGTATGTATCACAAGTACATAATAATACATAATATTATATATATAAATATATATAGTCACCTTGGAATTATAAGGTTCTATCTGAATTCTGAATGATTTTGAGATAATAAGCTTTAAAGTTTTTGCATTCCACAGCAAACAGTATGTGTGTAACATTTGTTTAAAAATAAAAAGTCTTAAAATGTAAACAACTTATAAAAAATCCCATAATGTAAACATATACAGTAGAATATGTCAATAAATCAATTTTGATAAAAATGTCAGATAGAACCTTATAATTCTAATGTGACAAGATATATATAGATATAGATATATATGATGTCAAAAAAAACTTTTATTTTGAATGTTATTAATAACAAATAATCTCTGCCCAGCACTACATTTTAGTTTAAGTGATTTTTTAAGAATGTTTTATATATTAACAATAAAATAATGTAGAATGCAAAAGTGCAATGAATACCAGAGCACTCCTTTTTCCAAATACTTACAAGAAATAAAAAGGGGGAAATAAAATACAATCATTTGCATGTCAGTTTGCAGCATATTTCAGCCCTGTTCATTTTAACCAGAAGCATATTTAGCTTTCTCTTACAATGCTTCTCGAAAGGCACATCATCTTCAACGAAGGGCTCGAAGTCGTTCCTGTGAGTCCTCATGTAGTGTACGGTCTCCTGCCGCAGATGCAGATGACCCCGCGAATGACCTTCCAGCTGATCTCCAAGAGCCCGAAACAAACAGTTCCTGAAGGAGAACATAACATAACTCCTTAAATGATCAGCATATAAATATGACCATCACAGTTATCCATTACGATTAATTGCATATCGCCATATTAGAAAACACAATTCATGAGCCTCAATGTTATAAAGCATGGATGGATGAATTGTTTCAAGTCATTCAGCTCAAACGGATGATACTCTCCTTGGAACTGAAACCTCAACACCAATTTCAGACTGTATGGCAACCTTTTCTTCATTTCCTCAAAACTGATAAGTGCTATGCCAACAATTGAACATACTCCGATAATTACATATGAACTCTGACTGATCTGACTGGTAAATATCCTGCATTTGTTATGGATTCACTTCAAAGGTGTAGTATGTAAGTTTGATGCCCAGTGGTTGAACTAGCTATTGCATTCCAAGATCAAACAAACGCAAGAGCTGGGGTCCGTTCTTCGTACCTCGCTTAAATGATCTAAGATGATTTGGCAGATCCTGGATCTTTCAATCTTGATGACTGATCTCTCGATAATTTGGTTCTTCAAACAAGTTCGCGAATCAGATTAGAATGTCTGGATAAACTGATCTGAGATCGCTGCGTGTGTTGTGAAGGACAGATCTATCGATCCTCGAAATCATGATCAGCAATGCAACGATTGGCTGACTGCACAGCAGCGTAATGACATCATCTGATTAATATTCAATTATCCGTGCGAGCAAAATTACATCAAATTAGCAGTAAACGGTTTGTTAAATATGATACGCAATAACTTTCCATATTTGTTGTGAGCTGCAGGCTTTTCATATGTCAAGAGTATTCATCATGTATTTCAATGCATATCAATGTATTTAGTTCTACATTTAGATTTTCTTTATAATAGTAGTAAAAATAGTTTTTTAATCGGTGTAAAGAATAACTGGATGTTTACAAAAGCATTTTGATATTGGTAAAGGCGTCTGCAACTTTTGTGAAGCATCAAATCACTGTAATATTAGCTGTCAAAACATGTTTATGACTGCATAAATGTATTATTGCTTTTTAAAAAGTCACATATTGTGCATTTCTATTATACACAAATCTAAAAAGTTCATATCAATAAGTTTTTGCTTTGCACCACAAGGTGGCAGTCTTTGTACTTTCATTTCGGAGTGCAGATTGCCTAAGTTTTATTAATATATAACTTTATATATAGTTAAAAATAGTTACTATTTTCCCAAGTGTATATAACTATTACTGTAAGAAAATATCAGCATTTGGTACATACTTTCAGTATTTTCTTTGCATGAACTGACCCGATCTAATCCTGTTTATATGAATTGAACCTGCTTCCGATCAGGTTTGAGCTTGCAGAACTGTTGCTATGACACAAAGTCTCGGATTAGCTTTGAAGAACGAAATGATCCTGGATCGTGTCAAATTGTCAATATCCAAATCCAGCTAACTGAGTAATCCACGTACGAAGAACGAACCCCAGGTTGACAGATTGACGACAACAGAAGCGAGTGTTCTATATAAATGCAACGGCACGCGATAGAAGAAATATTTTCCATATTAAAGGAGTTTTTGTTCTAACCAAATTATGTACCTTTACCTTTGAACGCATGTTTGTGAACAGTATGAGCTAACAGCGCCATCTAGTGGCTGTGCACACAGTATCCATAGTATTCGCTTTTTCCTACTATGGATGTCAGTGGTTACATGTTTCCAGCATTCTTCAAAATATCTTCTTTTGTGTTCAACAGAAGAAAGTCAAACATGTTTGGATCAAACGAAAGTGATATTTTGAAGAAAGCTGGAAACCAGTAACTATCCATCGACCTCCATAGTAATTTTCGTATTACGGAAGTCAATGGTTACTGACATACTGCTTTAAATGAACTTGGGTCTTTGAATCACCCGAAGAATGTAAGAAGAAAAATCAAAACAGTACAAAGCAACTACTTGAGTGCGAATCATTACCTTTTGGAATAATAGCATTGACAAGATTGATGCACCAAATGAGTTTCTTAAAAAAAAAAAACACAAAAGCGCAGGGCAAACTTCAGCAACTCTACGCACAAAATTCAAAAACGAAAATCAAAAAAAGCACATTGTATTTCAATTTTAGTTTTTTAATTTTAAAACAAAAATTTTAAAAAAAGACTCGTTTTTCTTTTTTCAATATGTTTCTAAAATGAAAATCCAATGTCCAAAAGATACACTGACCCTTCAAACAGGAAATTGTAACTAAGCAATAATTTTAATTTATCCATTTTTTTTTTAAATGCATGTAACTGATCTTTTCTTATGTACCTTTACCTTTGAACGCATGTTTGTGAACAGTATGAGCTAACAGCGCCATCTAGTGGCTGTGCACACAGTATTCTTCAGTTTAAACAAACTATTACTGATTTTTGTTGATGAAAAACTATTACTATTTTTGTAACTGAAAAGCAGTGATGCCTGTAGATGATTTTCAGTGACAAATCTTATTCTGACACATATTTTGAGAAAATGCTTTTGAAAAAGCTGTTTTGGCCTTATTGACTTCCATTATAATAATGACATTTTTTGATTGCAATGCCATGACACCAAATAATTACACTTTTTTTTTTATTGTTGATGGTTTTCTATGTTGGGAAGGGGTACAATTTGCAATTTTTGACTGTTTTTACAATTTGTAATTTAATATTCTAATGATTTTTGGCATTAAATACAGATTGGTAATTTGGACTTCTACAATGCATAGATGGCTATTTCTACAAACATACCTTAGCTCTATATAACTTAAGACAGTTTTATGGTCCAGGCTCATAATAAATAGATTATTTTCTAAAGCTCATACCCGTCTCCAGGCACCTCCCGCAGCTTGAGCCCCAGAGCCTGCAGCTGATTGGAGAAGCTGACAAACTCCTCTCCATCGTCTCCTGGAGGCCTGTTCTTCTTGTCTTTAGCCAGAGCTCGACGGGCCGCTCTCTCATCCCTCTTCCTCTCTAGGTCATACTTTCTGTTCCCTTTGATGGGCTTCCCAGACTGCTTCCTGGACATGCTGCTGTTTTACACTCGGTGGTGATGCAGTGTGACAGTTCATACGATTATCTTTCACACACGCGAAACTCTAACCTGAAAAAAACACCACATCATAAGTTAGTTATGACGAGAAACTGATTGAAGAATAGTTCACCCAAAAATGTAAATATACCTCGTTATTTTTAATCACCCTCAATGGATTATAAATCTTTAAGAGTTTCAAGCAGGCCAAACAGGTTTGGAACAAGCGAAGGAGGTATTTTAAAGTAAGCTGGAAACCTGTAACCATTGACTTCAATAGTATTTGCTTTTCCTACTATGGAAGTCAATGGTTACAGGTTTTCAGCGTACTTCAAAATTTCTCCTTGTTACAAATCTTCTGTTAAACACAAAAGAAGATATTTTGAAGAAAGCTGGAAACCTGTAACCGTTGACTTCAATAGTATTTGCTTTTCCTTCTATGAAAATTAATGGTTACAGATTTCCAACATTCTTCAAAAAATCTTCTTTTGAGTTCAACAGAAAAAAAAGAAAGCCAAATTGGTTTTGAACAAGCAAAGGAGATATTTTAAAGAAAGCTGGAAACCTGCAACCACTGAATTCCAGAGGATTTGCTTTTCCTTTTATGGAAGTTAATGGTTACAGATTTCCAACATTCTTCAAAATATCTTCTTTAGAGCTTACAAAAGAAAGTCAAATAGGTTTGGAACAAGTGAAGGAGATATTTTGAAGGAACCTGGAAACCTGTAACCGTTGACTTCCACAGTGTTTGTTTTTCCTTCTATGGAAGTCAATGGTTACAGGTTTCCAGCATTCTTCAAAATATCTACTTTTGAGTTCAACAGAAGAAAGTAAGTCAAACAGGTTTGGACTTCCGTAGGAAGGAAAAGGAAATACTATGGAAGTCAATGGCTACAGGTTTAGAGCTTTTTTGTAAATATCTTCTTTTGAGCTTAAAGAGGAAAGTCAAACAGGTTTGGAACAAGTGAGGAAGTTATTTTAAAGTAAGCTGGAAACCTGTAACCATTGACTTCCATAGTATTCGCTTTTTCCTACTATGGATATCAGTGGTTACATGTTTCAAGCATTCTTCAAAATATCTTCTTTTGTGTTCAACAGAAGAAAGTCAAACATGTTTGGATCAAACGAAAGTGATATTTTGAAGAAAGCTGGAAACCAGTAACCATCCATCGACCTCTATAGTAATTTTCGTATTACGGAAGTCAACAGGTTTTCAACTTTCCTTAAAAGATCTTTTTTAAGTTTAAAAGAGAGAAAGTCAAACAGGTTTGGAACAAGTGAAGAAGAGATAATGTAACTATTGACTTCCATAGTAGGAAAAGCAAATACTGTGAAAGTCAATGGTTAAAGGTTTTTAGGATTCTTCCAAATGTCTTTTTTTGAGCTTACGGAAGAAAGTCAAACAGGTTTGGAACAAGTGAAGGACATATATTGAAGAAAGCTGGTAACCTGTAACCATTGATTTCCATTGTATTTTTTACTACTATGGAAATCAGTGGTTAAATGTTTACAACATTCTTCAAAATATCTTCTTTTAAATTAAAGAGACAAAAGAAAGTCAAAAAGGTTTTGAACAAGCGAAGGAAATATTTTGGAAAAAAAGCTGGAAACCTGTAACCATCCATTGATTTCCATAGTAGCAAAAGCAAATACTATGGAAGTCAATGGTTATAGATTTTCAGCTTTCTTCAAAATATCTTCTTTTGAACATACAGAAGAAAGAAAGTCAAACAGGTTTGGAACAAGTGAAGGAGATATTTTGAAGTAAGCTGGAAAACTAACCATTGACTTACATAGTATTTGCTTTTCCTTCTATGGAAGTCAAGGGTCACATGTTTCCAGCTTTCTTCAAAATATCTTTTTTTGTGTTCAACAGAGAAAAGGCCTGGAACAAGTGAAGGAGATATTTTGAAGTAAGCTGAAAACCTGTAACCAATGATTTCCATCGTATTTGCTTTACCTACTATGGAAGTCAATGGCTACAGACTTACAGTATTCTGCAAAATATCTTCTTTTGAGTTCAACAGGAAAAAGTCAAATAGGTTTGGAACAACTAAAGGGTGACTAAGTGAACTGTCCCATTAAATGGGTTCTGTAGTGGTATTACACCTTCAGCTTCAATTAGTGTGCAATGTTGATTATGTAATGTTACAAAGTCCACCGAAGAGGGTGTTCAGTCTAAACATATCCTCGACTATAGCTCTGAGTTATCTTTTGATAACAAACAATGCATAGTATCCTCAAAATTACATAAATCCAACCCAAAGATATACATATGTATCTACTGTATGACTCCTACCTAAGGGGCCATTATGTTAGTAGATTGTATTCAAGAAATGCTGATCCATAGATCTAATTTACTGATACATATGCAGCTTAAGGGCTCAAAGCAAAAAAAATAATAAATAAATAAATTAATTAATTCTTAAAGGCTCTTATGTTAAAAACAATTCAATAAAATAGAAGTCAAAAATGTAAGAGTGCAGAATATTAAAGTTTTTTTGTTCTAAAATAAGTGTTTACTGTAAGTGTATACCTATTAAAAGAGAAACTGACTAAATAAATGGCAAAAGTAATACTTTATAAAAATTTATTTTATTTATTATAATAGTATTACTTACTATTTCTGTAAAAGTAATCAAATATTAATAATATAATTATAATTGTTATTATTATTATAAAAAATTTGAATATAACAAAAAATGAATCACATTGAAAAGTTATAAAAAGAAACGGCTATTTTGTTCTAAGTGGTACTAATAAATAAATAAATAAATAAACCAACAATTATTACGGTTCAAAATAATTACAATTAAATCTGTGAACATTATAGTGTGATCAGTGATCATCCAAAATATTTAAAAAGCTTTTGTCTTATTTTTTTTTTATTATTATTATTAATGACAATTACGGTAAACAGACAATTACGATAATAACTTAATTACTTTTTAATTCACAAACCTACAGTACACGGTCTTGACATGCATCTATTTTTATTTTACATACATTTGTATGTTTCTGCTATACATTTATATCATACGGTGGCCAACTATTGATGTTTATTTGTGCTTTAGAAGTAAATAAATGAAATTGTTCATGATTAACAAAATACAAGAGGTCACATAATACAAAGTAATTTTTACAGAAACTAGTTACAGTCATTTCGTGGCAGGGCTTTCAGTTGTGCAGCACAAAAGTTATGGAATTCTCTGCCTTTGCACATTCACTTGCATTTTTATGATGTGCTTGTGATCTGCTGTAAGGTGTCCTTGAGTGCTTTGAAAGGCGCAAATAAATAAAAGGTATTATTATGATAGAAACACAGACACACAGACAGATAGATAGACAGATAGATAGATAGATAGATAGATAGATAGATAGATAGATAGATAGATAGATAGATAGATAGATAGATAGATACCTTACATGAGTGTACAGTCTCAAAACTAGCTATTATTAAAATGATGATAAGTTAAACCTAGATGGATGGATGGATGGATGGATGGATGGATGGAAACAAACTTTACATGGATGTACAGTCTCAAAACTAGTTATTTAGAAAGATGCTGATCAAGCAATGAATACATTTAAGATAGATAGATAGATAGATAGATAGATAGATAGATAGATAGATAGATAGATAGATAGATAGATAGATAGAAAAAAGAATTAGGTTTTCAAATGTGAACTCGTTGTTTGTTTTCAGTCGGTCACTTTTTAAAAACAGTAATAACAATGCGTGGTTGAAAGTAACGTACCGTAAATATCAAACGGACAAACGGTGATAAAAAACAGCTGCGTTATGTGTCAGAAACCTCGTCATAAACTGTTTGTCAGCATTTTTACGACATAATAAAGAGGTTTGATGAAGAAAAAACACAGTTAAAGTCTGTCAAACAGTTGTACTCACATTCTCTGCTGACGGTAAGAAACACGAACAATGTATGTTTCGCCAATCTGAGCACTCACTCCGGTGAATCTCACTCAGCCTGAGAAACTCGGGTTTGTTTACTTCCCTGAAGAACCCGGCCCTCAGTTCCTGTTCCGGCTTTGATTTTAAAATAAAAGTCACGGATCAGTCGTGCAGTCGTGATAGAACGTTTGAAGTTGGTGGTTTTCTACTTTTATTGTACTAATATGTGTTATTATTTTACTATTACTATTAATTTACTATTATATATATATATATATATATATATATATATATATATATATATATATATATATATATATATATATATATATATATATATTTTTTTTTTTTCATTTAATTTTAATTTTGTATAATTTTTTATTTTTTATTTTTTGTCACTTTTAACAGGTAATATTTTATCTAGTACTTATATTTTAATAATAGTTTTCATTTCTGTCAGTAACACGGATAACGCCTTCATAACTGAGATGTCATGATTTTTCTCACAGTAGACTGGACCAGCTGATTCGAATGTTATCGATTGAATGGGCGTTAAAAAAAGCAAACGTGTGTCTTGAACTATTGCGTTATTTAACGTGTGGCGCATCAGAAGAGGCCGATATTCTGTATGGTAATGTATATTTGCCTGATTATGACAGACCTGTGGAATAAATCTTTATGAAAGAGGCTGTTTGTCAGTGAGTGGAGGGTTTGCTGTAGTCTAAACTATATTTTTATCCACAGCAGACGGCAACTCCCCGTGACGCAGATTCCCGAGTCTGTGTCCTCCAATCAGGTGAGCCCTCTTCAGCGCTCGCCATGACAACGAGACAACAGTGACGTGCCTTGTAAAAATTTGCATATGTATTCCTATAAAGCTTGTGTGCTCTCAGTCAGCGGTGTCAGTTCGCCCGGTGTAGCAGTTTGTACTTGACCAAGGTGAGTTCAATACCGACGGTACGAGTGGAGCCACGCCAATCTCACGAAGTCCGCTTCGTGAAGCTTCACCCGGGCCCGTCTGTGCTGTAGTTCCTTGCGGTTTGCGTACATAAACGCAATATCGCGAAGAACATTACGTGTTTGTTGCTCGAAATGTGCCGCCGAGCAACATCCAGTGAATACTGGCACGGCCTGGCGCCCGGTCTTCTCGTGCACTCCCTGGGGCGAGGCGGCCTTTGAGCCCTAGGCAGGGAGCAAACAACCCCTGAGGACCCTCAGGGAAACACGGGGGGCCGGTAGTGGGACCTCGCTGCGAGGGTTATGGTGGGTGGGAGTAGCGAGGCCCACTCATCTTCTTTTTTAAACTATAGTTTCAAACTTTAGTTTACTATAGTTGAAATAGAAACCATGGTAACTGTTATTATTTAACTTTGTGAAAAGAGCTTAGAATGACCAAGAGCAACAGACCCGGATTCCGCCATTTTGAAGTGATCGCGATCGATCGTCATTGCTGTCGCGATGGAAAGCAGCTGCTTTGTTTTTGTTTAATTTATTCTAAAAGCGCGTAATTGTTTCTCCAAATTGTAGAGTGTCGCCTCTTGGTAATTCTATGCTCTTTGCTCTATGTCTGACTGTTGTAATGTTTTGCTTTGTTTTTCAGCTGAGCTGTTGAGCAAAGAAGGACTATTGAAGACATCAGTTGAAGACTACCGCGGGTTCTATTCACAAGCGCGCGCATTATAATGTTTCGGGGCTGTTTTCTGAAAGTGTGTCTTGTTTAGATAAGTTTGCATATCAAACTAAATAAACTATACTCTTTCTAAACACCTGTCTCGTGTTTTATTTGTCCTCTACAGCAATGCACTGTCATATAAGTCTGTTGAATGCATTTGTATGCAACATGGTTTGACAATACAGTAGTCTAACAAATAAATAGTTGTTATAAATGTATCTTCATTAGTCAACATTTGGTGTTATGTTATGGTTGTTTCATAACTGTTTTTATTATTATTATTCTGTATGTTAAAAAACAGCAAATTATACTATATATTTAACATGTCATAAACTTACTGTTATTTTAAAATTTGCCAAATAAAATGTCCTAAGACAAGAATAGGTGTTGTTTAGGTTTTATGTCAACCTACTGTAGGTTTTAGGTTGACTTCAGCAGGTATAGGCTACATACATCATAGGGAGTATTTAATGACCCAAATCAAGTAAAACGTCTCTTACTCAAGTACTTTTAGCATGCAAAAGTCACATTTAGGTATATAAAATACAGTTTCCAACAACAAAATTTTGTCTTGTGAAAAAGACCAGTGTGGTGGTGAGGAAAAAAAGTAATGTCGAGTTATATATATTTATCAAGTTGTCATAATATTTAGTCATTCGATTATGTGACCGCTAGATGGCGTTCGTTTCAAAGGAGCGCTACCCTGTACTAAAATGGCGACTCTATTGACGCATTCCTTCCAATAGACAACATCAGGGTAGGCGACATCTAATGTTTTTTTTTTTGTTTTTTTTTTCACATCTAATGTATATAGCTATGGGCGCTAACTAGTATTTACGTCGTATCATGCTCAACTCTTAATACTCTTTTACGCACTTTAAAAGTCTTTGCGTGATTTCAGAGATATATTAAAGCACATATGAAGTAACAGTGGCGTCTCCACCATTGAGTTACACAATGCAGCATTTAGCTCGCTCGTAAACATCGCTGCTGTCCTCAGATCATTGTCTGAGCAGAAGTTTCATCATTAGCCCTGACTGTCAGATGCTCTTCATCTCAGGAGCTGTATTTTTAGATGCTTGACAACAGATATAAGGTGAGTTATGGCTGGAGTGGAATTTTTTAAAAGCCATTTTAAGGACAAAATTATTAGCTCCTTTAAGCAATATTTTTTTCTGATAGTCTGAACAAACCATCATTATACATTAACTTGCTTAATTATCCTAACCTGTTTCCCTAATTAACCTAGTTTAGCCTTTAAATGTCACTTTAAGCTGTATAGAAGTGTCTTGAAAAATATCTAGTCAAATATTATTTACTGTCATCGTGATAAATCAGTTATTAGAAATGAGTTATTAAAACTATTATGTTTAGAAATGTGTTGAATACATCTACTCTCCCTTAAAAAGAAATTGGGGAAAAAAATAAACGGGGCTAATAATTCTGACTTTAACTGTAGGTCTAAATCATTCATGAAATTGTTCAATTTAACATACATTTTCAGTAAAATAAAGATTTTTATTTTTTTTGATAAAATTTGCTAGACAGATTTTGACAACTAGTTCAACATTTTTGTATGTAAAGACTCAAATAATGAAATGAGTACTATTAGTTTTATATGGCATGACTATTCAGCATTCACAAGTTTAGTTCATTTTGACTGACATGAAATAAGCAAATGAGAATGCTATAAATATCAGAGAATTGTATGAAAGCAACTGATGCATGTCCAAAAGCATTTGCAATGTGTTGGAAGGAATGAAAAACTGCTACTGTGATGTGCACAAATGACTAATTGTTTTGAGAAATGCATTAACTGTTGTGCAAATGTAAATAGTGCAGTTAGAAATGCACCAAAGCGACTGAGAAAAACTGTACAACAAACACAAACCTCCTTTGAGTAGAGCTGTGCACAACTGTAAACAATAGTGCAATACATATCGGAACTGAACCTACAACATACAATGATCTGTATATCATTTATTAAATTGTTCAATTCAGAAGACATTTTCGAGAAAAAAAAAAGATTTTTTGTTAATAAAATTAGCTTGACAGATTTTGACAACTAGTTCAACATTTTTGTATGTAATCTCTCAATTAATGAAAATAGGACTTTTATTTTTATATGGAATGACTATTCAGCATTTACAAGTTTAGTTAATTTTGACTGACATGACATAAGCAGATGATAATGTTAAGACAGCAGAGAGTTGTATGAAAGCAGTTGATGCATGACCAATAGCATTTGCAATGTGTTGGAAGGAATGAGAAACTGCTACTGTGATGTGCACAAATGACTAATTGTTTTGAGAAATGCATTAACTGTTGTGCAAATGTAAATAGTGTTGCGATAAAACGCACCAAAGCGACTGAGAAAAACTGTAACCATTAGTGTGTGCATATTCAAATAAAATACACAAATCATAGCATTAAACGACCACCCCAGACCACACAGATCGAGCAAATATAGCTTTATTTCACAGCAGTGAAATCTAGCACACTCTACACACGACTCTATACATCCTTTATAAATAATACATCATCTGTTTTATCATACAAAAAATACATCATTACACCATCAGAGCAGACATACGTAACAGTCCTAATCGATCAAGTCATTTATCCCAGTTCATCAGTTGTTCCTCAATGACATGCTTCACCAGTCAGTGCACAAGCAGACCTCCATTCCGGTTCAACTTCCTTCATAAATGCATGAGCTTTATGACGCGTGAGCTCTGAAGCTCATCCTCCGCTGTCTGTTTGAGGGAAGCTCCTTGGCTTTTGCCTCCATCACCGCATCCATTTCTTCATCTTCAGGAATGCTGGTCTGCGGTTCCTGGACCTGCTGCTTTACTGGCAGGACCTCCCGCACCTTCAGCATGTCAAAGTCTGGTTCCTCGTGGTCCGGGAAGAGGGAAGATGCCACCTGGACCACTCCGCTCACCATTCCCAGGACCGCAAATGTGCCGCCCACCAGGTAGATCTTCAGAGAGCCTTTTGAGGGACCAGCGCTCAGCATTTCCTTGGCGAAAGGGATGAGCTCATGCATGGTGTCCATTCTGGAGTTTTGTCTAAGGGAGAAAGCAAGGAAAAGTAAGTATGTGAAGATAAAACTAAATTAGTTTGATACGCTGTAGTAAATTATATATAAATATAAAAGAAAAAAATTGATGTGCTGTTTAGAAAACTAAATTTTTGTATTTATTTTATTTTATTTATATTTATTTACATATTTATTTAAAAATTCATAGATTTTATCATTAAAATAATACAATAATTCATAAAAATATTAAACTAATTTTTTTTCTAATTAATAATAATGATAATAACAATAATAATAATAATAATAGTTATTATTATAACAGTAATAATAGTTATTATTATTATACATAAAAAATGTTTTCCATATTTAGTGCACTTGCAGTGCATTTTAATCCCTATCACACTAAGTTTTGATATTTTTATATTCATTTATTCATATTGTTTTGAGTATACAGAGAATATCTGATCATAATTTTCCCTTCTCAAACATTTGCATGATTAGGTGGAAAATCAATTCAACATAAACACAGAAAAGGCTCTTCATGCATCAAAAGAGGATTCAGGGAAACAGAACTACATTTTTCAGCCTTAAATATAGGTTATAATAAAATAAAAATAAGAAATTGTCACAATAAAATACGTACAACACTACAGACGTTAAAATTGAATATCATTCCCTTTCTAATAGCCTGTGGTGTATAATTTGCAAGTCTGAATAAAGACAGTACAGCACGATGTCGGATATAATAGTGTAACAGTTAAATATACTCATTTATACTCAGATAAAGTACATATACTCACTTGTCGAAGGTTAAAGAACCCGCTCGGATGATAATTCCTTGTTTGTCGGTGGTTATCCTCAGAGTTTCTGTGGGTGTCGAACATTCAGACTCTGCTTTTTTAAAGCTGGCGATCTTCTGACTCCGCCCACACCTCATGAATATTAATGAGGCTGGAAAGCAGATGCAACTTTTGCCCCTTTTGCTTCATGTGAACGCTGAGTGATTTCAGTGCTGCTGGCGAAATTAAAATCTCCGTCAGCCAAAAAAAAAAAAAAAAAAAAAAAAAGCAGACGAAGCCAGTGTTATGATCACGTGACGCCATAAACGCACCGTACGTGAGGAGCGTGTATGATATATGTTTTTATTATTATTAAGGACGCGATGACACAGTCGATATGGTTAATACTAAATCTACAGCTTCACAGTTCACCGATCGGTTTTATGGCGTGATAAGGAGAGGTGAAACACTTTACAGTGCCGTGTTTAACAACAAATGCTGATTTATTCAGATGAAGACGTGATATGATATGTAAACAAGACGTGAGGAACCTGCAATCTGAAGTAATATATACTGTGGTGGTACTACTAAACCTCATACTGTACATAGTATGTTGACTTGGGCTAAATCGAGCTTTTGGGTTAAAAGAATAATACCATGGTGTCAAATAAAACGGGTACTTATTATTGCAATTTCTGTAAAAAATTAAATTGATTATATATACAGTATTTACCCCGAAATACATTTTAAAATATCCTAAATCAAACAAAAAGTGCTCAGGGGTAGCTTAAATAATGTCAGTGCTCTTTGGGTAAAAGATTCATCAGGTCAAACAGCAAAAATTAGTCCAAGGCACTGGAAAAAAAAGATTTTTATACATTTAAAAAAATTATTTTATTATAAGAGAGTAAAAATAAATATATTTTTGCTTTTAATTATATATGTTGTTGCGTCTCACAGTTGCAAAAATATGTATACTTGTCATCAAAGTTTAAACTAGATTATTAGGTAAGTTAGGGTAATTAGGCAAGTCATTTTAACTATGGTTTGTTCTGTAGACAGTCGAAAATAGTTTAAGAGGGCTAATAATATTGATGTTAAAAATAAAAAACTGCTTTCATTCTAGCCGAAATAAAACAAATAATTTCTCCAGAAAAAAAAATATTATTGGAAATACGGTTAAAAATTCCTTGCTCTGTAAAAAAAAACATTTGGAAAATAATTGAAAAAGAAAATTCACAGGAGGGCGAATCATTTTGACTGTATTTTTCTTTTATTCTATATATATAAATATGGGAAATCCCATTGTTTCTTTTGTTTATACAGCAAATGAGACTCTGACAGGAGACTCTGCCACATCACTGATGACCTTTCCTCCACTGGCCTCTGCTCATCATCAACCTGCTGAATTAGAGAACCATGCAATCACACAGCAGACCTTCACTGCAGACCTTTACTCCTTCACTAGATATTTAATGAAAATTATAAAGAACAAAATTTATATTATATCGAATATTCTGTCATTTTGTATGTTTGTTGTACTTTAAAGCAGTGAATAGGAAAATTATTATCCTTGTTATTAATAATAATCATAACAGTAATAATGAGATCATTTTAAATTTGAATAAAATAAACAAATTAAATACAATTTGGCATTATAGAAAATATTTACATGTTATATTATTTGCAGGTTTTATATTTATGAATACTAAATCTCTCAAAAATGAAGTTTATGATTTTTTGTACATTTTATATTAATATTCATTCAATAATTAATTTTCTTTTCCGCTATGTCAGTTTATTAATCTGGATTTGCTACAGCGGAATGAACCGCCAACTTATCCGGCATATGTTTTATGCAGCAGATGCTCTTCCAGCTGCAACCCATCACTGGGAAACATCCATACACACCCATTTACACACATACACCATGGACAATTTAGCCTACCCAATTCACCTGTACTGCATATTTTTTAGACTTGTGGGAGAAACCAGAGCACGCCAACACAGGGAGAAGATGCAAACTCCATAATAATAATAATAATAATAATAATAATAATAATAATAATAACAATAATAATAATAACAACAACAATAGATACATATAATAATAATAATAACAACAACAACAATAGATACATATAATAATAATAAAAATAAAAATAACAATAGATACATATAATAATAATAATAAAAATAAAAATAACAATAGATACATATAATAATAATAATAATAATAATAATAATAATAATAATAATAATATAAGCTAATATAAAATGTTAGTAAAAAAAAATTGGGTATTATATAAAATATTAACGGCAAATTAATTAGATTTTTTTAATAACACTAATTAACATCTCTATATATTATCTCTATAATAATAATAATAATAAGATTGGGGCTGCACGATGGCGCATTGGGTAGCACGTTCGCTTCACAGCAAGAAGGTCGCTGGTTCAAGCCTCAACTGGGTCAGTTGGCGTTTCTGTGTGGAGTTTGCATGTTCTCCTCGTGTTTGCGTGGGTTTCTTCTGGGTGCTCCGGTTTCCCCCACAAGTCCAAAAATAAAAACATGTGGTACAGTGTGTGTGAAAGAGTGTGTCTGTATGTTTCCCAGTGATGGGTTGCAGCTGGAAGAGCATCCGCTGTATAAAACATATGCTGGATAAGTTAGCGGTTCATTCCACTTCGACTTAGTCCCCTGATTAATAAAGGGACTATGTCGAAAAGAAAATGAAAGAATGAATAATAATAGTAAAAATAATAATAATAATATATACGCTTTAAAAATTAAACACACACACATTTATATTATTATTATCTTATTATTATATTACAGCATTGCTTTAAGAAGTCTTTCAAATAAAAATAACATTTTTAAATTATTATGCTTTTCATTAATATTGAGTTGGTCAGAATTATTAACCCCCCTGAATTATTTTTTTCCCCAATTTCTGTTTAACGTAGGGAAGATTTTTTTTCAGCACATTTCTAAACATAATAGCTTTAATAACTCAACTCTAATAACTGATTTATTTCATCTTAAAATGGCATTTAAAAAATTTAAAACTGCTTTTTTTCTAGCCAAATTAAAACAAATCAGACTTTGTCCAGAAGAAAAAATATTATCAGACATACTGTGAAAATGTCCTTGCTCTGTTAAACATCATTTGGGAAATATTCAAAAAAGAAAACAAAAATTCAAGGGAGAGCGAATAATTCTGACTTTAACTGTAGATGTATATAATGTTAAAATATGATCAACAGTATTAAGCACTTTCATCAGCAGGTTAAAAGCATTGCACGAGTCGGTGATTGTTCATTAAATGAGTTCGTAAACAGCAAACATGCTGACCTTTCACTTTAGCAGCCATTCAGAAGCACATCCTTTAAACTGGAGTAAAAAGGCTGATTGCTGCGTCTCTGGAGAGGCTGTTTGCGTATGAGGTGAGAGGCCGGATGAATGTTGGCTAAAGGACTCACTGTAGATTCACAGGCTGTAGTGCTGCTGATTGAGGACTTCTGACCCGCTTCGCTCTGGTGTGTGTGTCCTAATGCTCTTTTCTCTACATGCACAGACACTGTTGAGAAACCCAGCTGAAGCAGCAGACGTGACGGTTCACACTGTACACAGAACACACTCACTAGACAAGAACACCATGCACAATCATCACATATACTGCACATTAGCACTGCTACTCATCAGACCGGTGAGGTGACTTGTTTTGGGTTTGAGTGTAAATTAATTGCTTTTAATTGGATTTTTTTTTCTCAATGATATAATAATAAAATAATATATAATATATATAATAATAATATATCATTCAATATAATATATTATAATTAAATAAAAAATCTATAAAATAAAAATAAATTAAAAAATTAAATAAATAAATATATAATAATGACATTATAAGCTAAATTTAATAACTTAATGGCTTGTTTTTGGGTCTTTTTCTTGTTTTTTATCTATTTAAAAAAATTAATTAGTTTTATTTGGTGATTTTTTTAAATGAATTAGTTTTACTTGGTAAATAGTTTCATTCAGATCGAAAAGTAAAAAAAAAAAAAAAAAAGATATTATATTAAGATATATACCAAGGGGTCAATATACATGGCTGGGCTGGTATAGTCAAACCTTACCCAGCAAGCAATAGCCGTCATTTCACTGGCTAGGTGAAGTATAGACCAGATCTAGCCCGGCTATGTGTAACCCAATTTTAGCCAGAATAACCTTAAATTTGGTTGCATATTTTTTTTTTTGCAAAATAAAGCTTATGATATGAATTATACTCCATTATGTAAGCGAAGTGAATAACGTTTATGACGTACCTGCAAGTAATAGACGTAGTTTCAGTTTCTCGGTGAAGTATAGACCAGATCTAGTCCGGCTAAGTGTAATTCAAATTTTAGCTCGAAAAACCTTAAATTAGGTTGCATGTTGTTTTTGGCTAAATAAAGCTTATGATATGTATGATACTCCATCATGTAAGCAAAGTGAAAAACGTTTATGACGTACCTGCAAGTAATAGACGTAGTTTCACTTTTCTCTGTGAAGTATAGACCCAATCTAGTCCAGTTATGTGTAACCAATCTTTAGCCCAAAAAAATCTAAATTTGGTTACCTGTCTTTTTTGGCTAAATATTTTGTGGTATAGCATTCCTTGGCGACGCAGTGGCACAGTGGGCAGCACGTTTACCTCACAGCAAGAAGGTCACTGGGTCGCTGGTTCGATCCTCGGCTTAGTTGGCGTTTCTATGGGTTTCCTCCGGGTTCTCCGGTTTCCCCCACAGTCCAAAGACATGCAGTACAGGTAAATTGGGTAGGCTAAATTGTCCGTAGTGTATGAGTGTGTGTGTATGTGTGGATGCTTCCCAGAGATGGGTTGCGGCTGGAAGGGCATCCGCTGCGTAAAAACTTGCTGGATAAGTTGGCGGTTCATTCCGCTGTGGTGACCCCAGATTAATAAAGGGACTAAGCCGACAAGAAAATGAATGAATGAATGAGCATTCCTTCATATAAGCAAAGCCCATAGGGCTTATAAGGTGTTTGTTTTAGTATTTTTAAAAATATGTTATATTCATAGCCTGACCTTAGCCTTGATTTAGCTCGTAATCAGATTTTCCTCTGTCATTTCACTGTCTCGGCGAAGTTGCCTATCGACCAGATCTAGTCTGGCGATGTGTAACCTTCTTCTAGCCCAAATAACATTAAATTTGGTTACTTGTCTTTTTTCGGCAAAATAGCTTGTGATTATTATCACAAACAAAGGAAATACTGTTCAAAGTGCCTTAGGTTTAATTTTTTTTTAAATGCCTAGCCTGTGCCTCATAGTCACTCGTACCAATGCTAAAGGTCAGTTTAAATGGTGCCAGCAGTGAAATCTCAGGCTGTGAATAATGTGAAACTTGTATTGTTCTCTGATGAGCCCATCTTCACACATCCAGAAGAATTACAGTGTGGAGAAGCCCCAAAGAAGTGCACCACCCAGACTACTGCATGCACATGAAGCATGTGATTATACCAAGCATTACTCATATTATGTATTATATTACCCATTAAATTGTATGCTATTAACCCAAACGCCTACCCCAATCCTTAAAGTAATTAAACAGAGTATTATTCATAATTTGTATTAAATTACCCATTAAACTGTGTTATTAACCCAAACCCCTACCTCAACCCTTACTGTAATGTAAAAACGGTAATGATGTAAAGTATTATTCATATTATTTATTAAATTAACAATTAAATTGCATTTTATTAACCCTGATTCCTACCACAACCTAAAAAAACCCTTACAGTAATTGTAAAAACAGTAATTATGCAGAGAATAATTTACATTATTTATCAATTACCCGTTAATTGTATTTTATTAACATCTACCCTACACTAAAACCAACCCTCACAGTAAAGTAAAAACAGTAATGATTGTTGTCAGTGAGTTTATTGTTGTAATAATATCAATAATTATCAATAACTTCCGATCGCATGTGTCTTCTAGACTTTACCAATAATGATTTCCTTGTTATGAGTCAGCAGATGATGAGTAAACAGGAAGTGACTCTTACGATGACATCAACACGTCCTTCAGGCATTAGTTTGCACTCAGTAGTGATGATGACTAAAGAGTCTGGTGTTAATCTGAGCTCAGGTGACTGACCTGCATAGCGTCCACTCTCCGGTCACCAGTCCAGGTCAGACGCTGTATTCAGGTCAGCCGGTCAGAATTTGTCAACTGGGACGATCTTGAAACTATTAAAAATAAATGAATGAACAATAAAAATAAGTTTAAAAACAATTAAAACACAAAGTAGGCATACCACAAAATGGTCACAAGAATCAGATGCTTTGTTTCCAGTGAGGATTTAGAGAAACTTGTTCATGCTTTTATCAGCAGCAGGGTGGATTACTGTAATGTACTCCTCACTGGCCTTCCCATAAAGATAGTCAGACAGTTGCAGCTCATCCAGATCGCTGCTGCTAGGATTCTGACCAGAGCCTAAAAATCAAAGCACATCACACCTGTCCTCAGGTCTTTACACTGGCTCCCAGTTACACTGAGAATACATTTTGAAGCATTATTACTGGTCTATAAATCACTAAATGGCTTATAACCTCAATACCAGTTGCAGAGCCAGAATTTTTTACATGGGTGGCCAGAGGGTGGCCACTGCTATTTTAAGGGGTCCACACACACACACTCACACGAAAGTGTTTAGAAAACTAAAATCTATTTCATTAGCAACAAATAATTCAAAATATGAAAACATAATTATTTACTCATCATCTACTCACTATTTGTGAATTAATAAGTAATGACAGGATTTGATTTTTTGGGTGGAGCATTCCTGAAGCTCAGCTTAAATTCTAACATTGATTGAAACATGTAAATGCCCAGTATATGCTCTGACCTGCTGGTGGACCTGAAGTCTGACCACTCTGACTCTGACTAGTCTCAGGTATGGAGCTGCTGTGGGATCCAGTGCAAAGGCTAGGGTATGTTTGAACCTGATCTGCCTCCTGTTTGTGCTTCTTTATTAAGAAGTCTGACATTTCAACCTTTCTTTTCATGTTTAATTGTCCCTGTGCAAAAATAGTACAGTCTGGTTACATCTGATCCAGTTAGAAACACATATATCCTAATGAAAAATATCCATTATCATACCTGCACATCTAAATCAGCATCATAAAATCAAAGTATATGAGGTGGCTAATCCATTTCAAACAAATTTAACTCACAAACAGCTAGCCTAACATCACTTTCCCATATTAGCTAAATATTTGAGCATAAATAATACATAATAATAGTACATAATAACTTGCATACATGGAATGTGCATGTAATACTAGCATAGATTAAGTATAGCGTTAACTGTTTAAAGAGCGTACTGATCTCCTTCTCATTAAGTTAACTCATGTCGTCGGTGCCTCATTAACTTACAGAGCGGATAATAAAGGTTCCTAAGCAAACAAACCTTATGCTAAACTATAAAACATATTTCAAGTGTAATGTTATGATGTGTTATTATTCGTCTTACTTAAAACAAAGATCTTATCTTCGGCTCGTCTTTGATTTAAAAATAGCTTTGATTTAAAAATAGTGTTGCCAGATAGAGCTGACTGATTACAGCCCAAAAACTATCCAAAACCCGCCGAAATGCAAAAACAATCTAAATCAAAACCGCCCAATCTGGCAACACTGCTTGTGCGTTCAGTAACGTCTTTAGACAAATGAGATGCCAATCGCCTTTAGGACCTGCCAGCAGCAAATAAAATTTTGGGGTGGCACCTGGGGTGGCCAATCAGATGTCAGGGGTGTCCAGTGCCACCCCGGACACCCCTTTGGCTCCGCCACTGCTCAATACATTACTGATATGCTCACTGAACACAAAGGGTGAATCCGCCTTCAGCTACTGCGCCCCCTGCTGCAGAAATCAGCTTCCAGAAATGATCAGATGTGCTCCAACATTAGGCACGTTCAAATCAAGCCTGAAAACACATCTGTTTAGCTGTGCCTTTACCGAATGAGCACTGTGCTGCGTCCCACAGATCGCACTATGTCTTTCTTTTCTTTTTCCTTCCTTTAAAACATGTTTTAACACATTTTAATCTATTTTTAATCATTTTTATTTATTTTATTTTAATAATTTATTTTAATGCTTTTAATTATTTTTATTTTCTTGTTTCTTTTATTCCTGTTTATGTAAAGCACTTTGAATTACCATTGTGTATGAAATGTGCTATATAAATAAACTTACCTTGCCTAAAGTGCATGTTTATCTGAAAATTGCAGCTTTTAAATGGGTCATAATTGGCGTATGTATGTCCTATAGTATTCCTAGTACTTGCTATAAATTCATACAGTATTTTTTTTTCATGTGGGATCAGACCAACAAGAAAACCAAAAAATTTACATATGAGGGTTTATTAGTAAAAATATCACACAAAGCACTGACAGTATAGCTGTCTACACAAACATAAACCTCCTCTAGTTCAGAAGACACTTCATTTTCAGTTTCTTACACGATAATTAGTAACAATACCGTATTTCTAACAGTAAAGTTCATGTGTGTCGGGTATTAGTACTGCATTACAGTGCACAAAACAACTATGGTGGTGGAAGAAGGCAATAAACAATTTGTATCCATTTCATTACGAAAAAAATATATAATTGATAAACACATTACAAAAATAAACCTTTCTAGTTAAAGTACCCGAAAAAAGAGAAAACTAATTATCGAATAACTTCCAGCTTAGGGGCCAATCATACCCAATTCGCTTTTTTGATCTGAGAAAGCAAGGCGCTGCCTTTTATTGTTGACTAGAAAAAAGTAGTGTGCTGCGCTTTTTTTGTTGCTAGGCAACTACTCAATCAGTTGTGTATTGTCACAGACTATAGAATACACAAGACATGTCACTCATATCGTTTTGAATGGGGAAAAGTTTAACGTCAATATAGCAAATGAAGCCCCGCCTTCAAGTACAGAAGCCAATCAGCGATCGCTATAGACTGAGGATTCTCCGTGGAAGGGGCTCGGACTAGATGCAAATTTCTGCAGATTTTTTGTGATTCGAACGTTTAGAAATTAGACAAAAGCGACAGCTGTTGTTTAACTCTATTGGTGATTCCTGATATGAAATTTAATATTAAGCAAGCAATTTTGGAGAATTTGATGTTTCCCCATTCAAGCCTGAGAAGCATTAAAAAAGGTGGCCCCTGAGTGAAACGACTTGCCTGAAAGGGACATTGGTATTGTGCAGCTTGTGTATACTTTCATATAAGCTTATACAGTATTTACTCTTTAGTCATCTTGACAACACAAACACTGCTGTCACCTCAACAAAACCTTTGCCTCTGCTTTCATTTGAGAATGAAAAAAGATGCGACTAACGTAGCTGGCTTTTTCCTCTCAGTTGCCTATTTTTCAACTGCAGGCGCACAGAATGCAATGGCATATATGTGAGAGCATTATTATGCCTTCACATCAGATGCGGATTAAGCGTCATGCGCGAGTGATTTAAATGTAAAGTCAAAGGAAAGATGCGAATAGACATCCTGAATGCGTCATTTGCACGTATCACGTCATTTGCACTGCTTCAATTACATCATTCACGTCACCTCATTCAAAGCGCCAAGCACAAGTGATTCATATGTTGTCAAAGCAAAGACACAAATAGACATCCTGCGTTGCTATTCGTGTGAATAAAGCTGTGCAAACGACATGATTCGTGCGAATGAAGCGGTGCAAATGACGTGGAGCAAATTACACAATTCGCGTGAATGAAGCAATGCCAATGATACGATTCGAGTGAATGAAGCAATGTCAATAAAACGATTCACGCGAATGAAGCAATGCCAATAAAATAATTTGCGTGAATGAAGCAATGCCAATAAAACGATTCACGCGAATGAAGCAATGCCAATAAAATAATTTGCGTGAATGAAGCAATGTCAATAAAACGATTCACGCGAATGAAGCAATGCCAATAAAATAATTTGCGTGAACGAAGCAATGTCAATAAAACGATTCACGCGAATGAAGCAATGCCAATAAAATAATTTGCGTGAATGAAGCAATGCCAATGACACGATTCGTGTGAATGAAGCAATGTCAATAAAACGACTCGCGCGAATGAAGCAATGCCAATGAAACGATTCATGTGAATGGAGCAATGCCAATGACACGATTCGCATGTATGAAGCAATACCAATGATGCAATTCGTGCGAATAAAACAGTGGCAATGGTTCGCGTTAATGAAGCGGTGTGAATGACATGATTCGCACCAATGAAGCGGTGCAAATGACCCGGTGCAAATGACGCGATTTGTGTGAATGAAGCTGTGCAAATGACGGGATATGTGAGAATAAATTGGTGCAAATGATGCGGTTCGTGCGAATGAAGCTGTGCAAATGATGCGATTCGTGCAAACGAAGCGGTGCAAATGACGTGATTCGTGCGAATGAATCGTTGCAAATGTCACGATTCATACATATGAAGTGTTGCAAATGACGCAATTCGCACAAACAAAGCGGTACAAATGACACTATTTGCACAAATAAATGCAATAAAATAACGCAATTGGTGCGAATAAAACGGTACAAATGATGCGATTCATTTGAATGAAGCGGTGCAAATTGAACGGTTTAATGCGCTTAACACACAAATCACTCAAGTTGGAAAATCTGAACTTTAGCAGACATTCACGACGTGTCAATCAAACAGAAGCTTGTTCTAGTATGGGTATGATTATAACGCAGTGCCTGTAATGCGTGTCCCGAGGGGAAATCCTGCTGCTGACACCGGACAACAGCTCATCAAACTGGGCTCGGCTCAGTCCGAAGTACCCCTGAAAGCTTCTATCATCTAGGTATAGTTTCTGGAGGAGTGGTAAACTTACAGAGATGGGTGCACATGTGAAAGGATCTAGTGGACTCAGATATAGCACCAAATAAATCTACGCTGTTTTTCAGCCTTACTAAAGCACCTGAAGCACAGCTACTCTCTCAATAACATCCATAGTAGCCATTTAGCAAAGAAACTAGAGTCACTGGGCACACAGAAGTATTGTGAAATGAATTTGATACATGAATAAAGCGAATTTGATGCGTGAATGAGGCGAATAAAATCAAAATGATCATGCATCATGCGCGAATAGTGCAATTTTATTTATGCAAGCCGCATCAGATGTGAACGCCCCATTAGAAAACCATTCAAAAAAGGTGCCTCTCATTGCAAAAAGCACGTTCGGTGTGATCGGCCCCTAGTAGAGCTGCACAATATATCAGTTCATCATGGATATTTCAATGTGACCATTTGCAATACTCACATCGCAATATATGCAATGTGGAGTCTGGATTATAGTTTGCATGCGTTTTTTTTAGGGCTGTGATTGCATGAGGATTTTAAAAAGATTTTATTTTACTGTTTGTAACTTTCATAATGATTAATTTGATAAAATTAATTATACAACGAAGACTACACAGTATTATTTGACATTTGCTCATTCAGTTACTGTACACCAGAATACTGTTGGACTCCTCAGAAAACCCGTAAAGCATTGTTTATTTCATTTGTATCTTTTTTTTATATCGAATTTATCCATGCTTGTAGATTGTTTATTATATTTTATGCAGATTCATTGCCCTACAGAATAATCCCAATCCAAAATAATCTAAATTGTCCGAAATAGAGATAATATTTATTTTTTTGCCCAATATTGTGCAGCCCTACAATCTAATATGTCTTACAGTGAAGTGTACTGAGGTTTTTACACACTAAAATGACACATTATTGCACATTTTACCAACTAGCCATGCATCACGGAGAATAATATGTACAAAAGCACAAAATAATACTCAAGAGTCCAGTAACACGGACCCCTGCTCCAAATGTGTGGTAATACAGAGAGATTAATTGACCTTGATCATGTAAAACTGCTTCGTCAAATGAAAAATACAGAGTTTTGATGTTCGGCACCAATCATGGTACAAGGATACTGCATTGTTTGTGAGTGTGTGAAGGGCTGTATTTGTGCTCTGTTTGCAGAATTTGGAGGCACTCTCCTAAACTTCAGGATTGGAGGACGGTGCGGGCCGGTGGCCAACTGTCCTGACAACACTTTTGACCGGGGCAGAGCAGCGGGATCTGCCCACAGAAAGCAGCCAGCGGCCGGTAAGAGGTCACAGACCTGCGGCGAACAAGAGAAACAGACATTCAGCATTTGCACATTTGCAAGTACAGTTAAAGTCAGCTTTTATTTAGTTAAAGCTGCTTTTATTCTAGCCGAAATAAAACAAACAAGACTTTCTCCAGAAGAAAAAATATTATAGGAAATACTGTAAAAATTTCCTGAATCTGTTAAACATTGTCTGGAAAATATTTTACAAAATAAAAAAAATTTAATAAATAAATAAAATAAAATAAATCACAGGATGGCTAATAATTTTGACTTCAATTGTGTTTGTATTATGAAACAATCAATAGATCATCTCTACCTGTCAAAAATCATGCTTTTACAGTGCAGCCGATCACATGACAGAGCAAACACCAGTCTGCAGGTTCTGCCCAGGACGATTGGAGCTTCTTTTTGCATACCTGAAGAAGATGTTAAAGTGAATAAGTAAATGTAGGCTACATGAATGTATTTAGCAGACAATTTTATCTAAAACAACTTAAAGGAGAGGAAAAAAGCAAGAAGTAGGAACAGTTAGTATGATATTTTTTTTTCCTTTGGTAAAGTACAGTTTTTTTAACTTATTCGTTTATTTTCAAATTCATAGGTGCATTGGTGGAATTAGAATAAACACAGAAAAGTCCCTAGCATTGTTCCCTTTAACATTACAGAAACAAACAGCAGTGATATTTTAGTACTATTTCTCTATTGTCATATTATTTATTTTTTATTATATTTTTTATTTTAGTTTTTATTATATATTTGATTTTTTGATTATTTATTTATTTCATTTTATTTTCTGTTTACATTATTTCACGTACAAATTGCTGTTTAATAAAATTTTTGCCCATATTTATAGTACTGTTTATGTACCATGATTGTATTTAATAATATTTCAAATTAAGTTTTTTGTTTTAGTATTAGTTTTGTGATTTGCTTGTCATTTCTACAAGCCTTCTGTATGTATGCATCTCTCTCTCTCTCTCTCTCTCTCTCTCTCTTTATATAAAAATTTTGCTTCTGTATCTTTAAGATGTAAATGACCTTGATTTTGATTGGCTTAACTTAACAAATGTGAAATTAGAAACTCCAACTGAGGTGCTCTAAACAAAAAGCTGGAGTCTCATGTATAAACGCTGCGTATGCACAAAAACTTTGCGTACGCCAGATTTCATGCTCACGTTTGGATTTACTAACGATGAAATGAATGTGAGAATGTGCGTTGGTCCAAGCCAACTTCATGCCTACGTGCATTTCTTGTGTGTGTCTGTTTTATTTCTATTGGCGACTCCTAGAGGCAATTGTGTTAAATTGCACAATTCAAAAAGTCTTTGAGCCGTGTAAGGGCAGCTGTATGGGACGGGATCATCTGCATGTCTAGCAGGTATACAAGGTTTCCATACCATGCAGTTGACCAGCCAAACATTAAAGCGCAATTCGCAGCGATCGCCAGTTTGTCCAGTGTAATCGGAGCGATTGACTGCACGCACATTGCTATAAAGGCACCATCTGAAGATGAAATTGTATACGTGAATTAGAAACATTTCCATTTAATAAATGTGCAAATAATATATGATGCACACACTTATTAATGATTCCTACTTGTCTTCCTCGTGATGAGGAGTAGCCAAAATCTGATATGTAGTGGGGAAAAAAAAGAAGAACGTCTTCATCAGGTGCTGGATTCAAACCCAGGTTACCTTCGAATGTGTCAAAACATGTGGCTATGCACTTTACAAGCTACGCCACTCATGCTGTTAAAGACACTATAAAATTTTACACCTTTACATCGCACTATTTCTTTTTTAATCCACTCTGCGATGTTCAGACCCAACTGTGTTAATCGCATCAGCTAAACTCTCCCACTCTATTTTTTTCTTTTATTATTAATTATTATAATAAAATGAGTAAACAGTGGGTGTGGCTTGTTTTTTTCTACTGTGAGCTGATTGGATTGTTGGAATGTAGGCATTTCATTCGGAAAGATTGGGAGGAGGGTTTCAGGAGAATTATCACAACGTAACAGACGCCGCCTCCTCAACATTTCTTTTGTTCTCAAAACTGACAGCTGGAGGGGCGTGGTTAAGTATGTTAGCCACGCCCTTTACCTCAGACAGACCTAATCTGAAAATTTAACTGAAAACAAACAGGAAGTACATTTTCAGCTTTCAATTAAAGATCACAGGGGAAAAGTATCTTTTTTCTTAATATCATGCACAGATGAATGGTTCACCACAAAACTAGCAATGTGGGCTTACAAAATCAACGTGGTTAGTTTTGATTTCATTTCACGTACCCATTGAGATCGGCTGGCTCCGAGTGGTACACGTGTTTGCCCTTCTCCGCTATGGTGAGGGTGCCAACGTGAGTGGTCTCGCTGTGACTGACCCGCATTGGGTGATACTGACTCTTGGCCTCTGTGGATCCACATGGGACGTTCATGCTGCCGTTGGGCTCGGGGGTCTCAGAGAGCAGCTTCTTGCGGACGGATTCAGGTGTGGAGGAGGCGATGACTTTGATTTCGGGCACATCTCGAGGGCTGTCTTTGAGGCGCACACAGGCCTCAGAATGAGCCTGCTGGAGCTTCTTCATGTGGTTAATGGCCACTGTGGCGTTGAAGGCTTGCTGGAGAGATCAGATCAGGGTTTCGTTAGTATTAGTATTACTGCAGGAATGAAGCTACCAACAAAGAGACAATTTGTCCATGTAGAAATCTGATACAGTTGAAGTCAGTATTATTAGCCCCTCCACTATATTTCTGTTTAACGAAGAGAAGATTTTTCAACACATTTGTAAACATCATAGTTTAATGAACTCATTTCTAATAACTGATATATTTTACCTTTGCCATGATGACAGTAAAGAATATTTTACTAGATATTTTTCAAGATACTAATAATTAAGATACTTGGTATCTTTTTTTACATTTGCAAGATACTGAGGCCCTGTTTACACTAGTGCGTTTTAGATCAAAAACGATCCGCGCCCACACTAGCGTTTCTGAACTATCTTCCTCCACACTACGCCACCAAAAACGTATATCACGTGACCATTCGCGTACTCTGGACATGCATGTTCAAGTATAAACAGGAAGCATGTGTCTCGCTCGGCATTTGGTTACTGTTAGTCAACAAACGCCGGTTGAACAATGAACGCGATGGCAAAGAAAGCAAGACAGGTATTTTTGTGGACAGATGACGAGGTCTAGTTGTTACTAAATGTAACAAATGAATAACTGCACAATGGCACCTAAAACAGACAATAGTGCAAACAATGCTCCCTTTTCTGTGTCCATGTTGTTGTTTAAAGTGAAGGCTGGTCTGCCTTTTGGTAGCGTTAAAGCCATGTGTTATTGTCATGTGATAGGGGCTTGACGAATAAGGGAAGGATACGCAATGACACAAAAAGCCCCAATCAGGTAGTGAATCTCAGCAGCCCCGCCTCCGTTTTCAGATGTCTCTGTTTTCCCCCATCCACACTGAGACAGAGCAGCAGCATTTCAGTTTGAAAACGGGCGTTTTCAAAACGCTCCGTTTTCGGCGCTCGAAAACTCCGGCGCAGTGTGGACGGATGGTGGAACCGTAGGAAAACTTTTTCAAACTAAAACGCATTAGTGTAAACGGGGCCTAAGGCTAATAATTCTTCAACTGTAGATAACAGCACACAGTTGTGATCGTAAAAAGGTCTAATGAACATTCGCGAATCATGAATATTGTGCAGTTCTCTCTCAAAGCATGAAGCAGATATCTAAATCTAATCAAAACTGGTCTGTTCCAGAAATCGACTCAGATGAAGCAATTACAGGCAAGACGGATGAGCAAATCAGTGACTCCTCTTTACAGCTGGATTGAGCAAACGGGCCAGAGATCATCTGAAAACCCAAGTGAGACTAAACCACCCTGAGCCGAGAATATAGCGAGTTATGAAACGGGACCTTACCTTCCACTTGGACTTGGCGAAGTTTTTCTGCATCTGCTCGCTGACCGAGTGGTAGATGTCCTGACTGCGTGCCGTCTTCCCGATAATCCTGCAGGAAAACACTGGGATTTAGACAGCGAGAACTTTAATCTTGGTTAATCTAACAATTTGGGATTTCGCTTCTCCCACATAACAATAGGATTAAATGGAGAGCAAAAGGTTAAACCTGACAAAAAAAGAGCTGCAGTGACCCTAACATATAGTCTTAAACTGGGCTCACATTTACTAAAATGACAAGCTAAAGATTTTTAATTTGAACTTTATGAACTTGTGTTATTTTATATTATTTTTATACCGTTATAGTACTTCTTAATATTTTTGATTAGCTTTATTTTTAGCTATTTTTAATTTTTATTCTATTTAGCTTTGTTTAATTTCCTCTTCATTTGTTTTACGTAAACTTATTTTAAAATAAACTTATTTACGTTTTGTTGCCAAGGCAACATGTCTAATTTGGAGTTTTTAATTCATTATTTTTTTTCCATTTTATTTCATTCATTAATCTATTCATTTTTCTTCAGCTTAGTCCATTTATTCATCAGGGGTCGCCACAGCGGAATGAACCGCCAACTTATCCAGCTTTTATTTTACACAGCGTATGCCGTCCCAGCTGCAACCCAGTACTGGGAAACACCCATACACTTTCATTCACACAAACTCATACACTATGGTCAATTTAGCTTGGAGCAGGAAACCCACGCGAACAAAGGGAGAACATGCAAACTCCACACAGAAAGCATCCACCCGGGACTCGAACCAGCAACTTTCTTGCTGTGAGGCGAACGTGCTAACCACTGAGCCACCGTGTCACCCCCCTCTTTATTTAATTTGATAAAACATTATAATGAATCTTTCTAATTAAATATTTAATCAAATTTTTGTATTTATTTTTATGTATATTTAATATTTAACATTTACTAGTAATTTGTATACATTAGATTTAATATTACATCATAAATTAGATTTAATAATAATTCTATTTTCTAAATTGAATAATTTTCTTAGTTTTTTTTTTCAATTTATTTTTTTAAAATCTGAATATTAAATCTAATATTTAAGTGTACATTTTTCATCTAATATTTATAATTAATTTTAATTGTTAACTAATATAGTTTTAAATTATTTTAAGTTTAGGATTTTCATCTCATGAATAGTTTTACTTGAAGTATTTTAATCGCTACACTTGTTCTCTAATATTTATATTTAATTTGCTTCTTATTTCACGTGGCGCAGCGGGTAGCACGATCGCCTTACAGCAAGAAGGTCGCTGGTTTGAGTCTAGGCTGGGTCAGTTGGCATTTCTGTGTGGAGTTTGCATGTTCTCCCCGTGCTGTTGTGGGTTTCCTCCGGGTGCTCGGGTTTCCCCCACAGTCCAAAGACATGTGCTTTAGCTGAATTCTGTAAGCTAAATTGGCCGTAGTGCTTGTGTGTGAACGAGAGTGTATGGATGTTTGCCAGTGATGGGTTGCAGCTGGAAGGGCATCCACTGCGTAAAACATATGCTGGATAAGTTGGCGGTTCATTCCGCTGTGGTGACCCCAGATTAATAAAGGGACTAAGCCGACAAGAAAATGATTGAATGAATATTATAGTATTTCTTGATAATTGTAATTTGCTTTGTTTTTAATTTGATCAGTTTTATTTAAGTTTTAGGTAATGTTTTTATTATTTTTAGCTTTATTTCATTTCAGTTTTATTAATTTGACTTAAACCTATTTTTAAATAACTTATTTACAGTTAGTTGTTAAATAAACATTTCTAATTTTAAACTTAATTCATAATTTTTTCACTGTATTTCAGTTTCTAATAATATAATAATTTTTTTCTAATAAATATTTCATTAACGTTTACATTTTTAAAAAATGTATATTTAATATTTAACATTTAATAGTAATTTATTTATATTATTTATTATATTTATTTATAATTACATTTTATAATAATTATATTTTTAAAAATTTATAATTTGTTTATTTTAAATCTGAATATGAAATCTAATGTTTAAATGTACATTTTCATCTAATATTTATATTTAATTTCAGTTAATAGTTTTTTTATATATAGCTAAAATAATTTTTCATAAACAGTTTTACAATAAGTATTTTATGTCTACACTTGTTCTCTAATATTTTTATTTTATTTACTTCTTTTGAATTTAAATTTTTATTTTAATTTGCTTTAAACATTTTTATATGAAGAGTTTAGATGCAAAAACCTCTTAATGCTGTCTGAAATTTTCCTCTAAAATGAGCATTTTTATCAGGCTACTGTGCATGTTCAGTAATATCACTTTTATGGCAAGGAATAAGTCCTTTTCCTGGTCTTTAAAGTGAAATATATCAACATAAACAAAGGAGGCTGAGAAAAATTAAAATTTTTGATGGAAATTTCAGACGGCACTTAGAAGTTTTTGCATTTGAACTCGTATATGTATATAGCCTATACACATTATATACATAGACATAAAGTGTTTTCTTTAATTGATTAAGATTTTGTATGCAGATATGACACTTAGAAATATATGTGCCTTATAGCACATTTCACTCACTGCATATTGTATGAAATATTACTGCGTCAACCTTTTTATTTTTTTATTTATACAGTATGCAAATGAACCCTGTGACTCACCAGGGGTGTCTGAGGGCCTGTTCGGTGTTAAAACGCATCTTAGGATTTTTCTGCATCATGTTGCGAATGAAGTCCTTTGCTAGAGACACATCGATTGCACAATACATAAGCCTCAGGAACTCTGCTTACAGATGTGTTTACACAGAGATTTAGGGAAGAACTGAATGTTTGTGCTCACCAGACTCAGAGATGTCGTCCCAGAAGGGTGAATCAAACTCATACTGCCCCTTCATGATCTTAGAAAACAGACGCGTCTCAGTTTCTTCATAGAAAGGAGGATAACCACAGAGACTGAAGAGAAAAAAAAGCAAAAACAAATGAATGAAAAAAAAACACAGTCATCCAGGAGAGGGCGCTGTTTATTTGACAGACTTCAGCTTATTCTAGGTATGTAAAGGTGGACTTTGTAGGATGGTCAGCTAGTGGTTGAATTAGGTATTGCGGTCCAACTTCAAAATATTAGAAAGGTTTTTTTTTTCAGCTTCACGCACACGTTGAGCTCTGCTAATGTTTACAATGTCATATTTGTATTGTTAGCAAAATAAAAGCCACCTCTTGTAGAGTTTTATATGAATCTGCGTCTTATGCTACTGTCCTCCAGAGGTCACATTTCCTGCATAAGTTATGGCAGTTTTTGTGACTGAAATTTAATATAGACTATGTCGGAATTTGCCGACTACTCAGTAGGTACAGCGTTTGAATTTATATTTACTACTTGAAAGCTAGTAGTATAAATGGAACTCGAACGTAACATAAATGTAGTACATCCACCATTATGTCATGATCACTCGTTCTACCGTGTAGGTAGAAAATTGAGAGATTTTGATAGAAGATTATCAAAACAGTGCTCAGATTAATTGTTAAAATCAAGTCTAACAATGTGCGTTACAGAAAAAACAGTCACACTTTCTTTTGATGGTGTGTTTATGGAATTTAAGTTACATTGCATCTACATGCCAACTAATTCTCATTAGATTATTTTTAGACTTTTGGGTAAGGGTTGGGGTTAGGGTTAGGGTAAGTTGACATGTACTTGCAAAGTTTCTTATAGTCAGTAAAATATCTGTTTAGCATCAACAGATATTAAGCATACAACTAATACTCAAATAGGCCATCAAAATAAAGTGTTACCAAAAAAACATGGTGAATTCAGATTTCCAGTGGACTTTAACAGAAATGCCAATTGGTGTTTGTTTAACCAGTGACAAGTTCTGACTCAATTGCTAATCTGTTGGTTTTGACAAACAGTAAGCTTAAGGTTTCTAAATTAAGAACTTGGTATCTGTGTATCTCCCTCTGTAAACAACAGTGATGTTTACAGTCCAGTTCACTCAGTGATGTGGAGCGCTTTAGGGTCAGAATCAGATTCTTGCGAAAGTCATGTGCACTAGAGAGTGACTTACAGGATATAAGTGATGACTCCAATAGACCAGCAGTCAACAGCTTTACTGTAGGGTTTCTGAGCCAACACTTCAGGAGCTGTGGGCAAAGACACAGCATGATATTAATATAGAGCTTGCTTATTGTGGTTCATTAATGCATTCGGTTTAAAATAGTGCTTTTGTAAATTTATGTAAAATAGTACTAAATGCTAAAAAGTTTGTTAATTAATTGTTAATTAAATGAAATATGAAATACAGACTTAAATTTGAAAAAAAAACTTTTGAATGCCTAACAAGATACAAGCTATATTTGAAATAAAAGCTAAATACGAGCAGTAAAATAAATTATATATATATATATATATATATATATATAAAACAACAACAAGTGTGTCAATTAAATTCTGGTTTAAATACAATTTCAAAATCTACTTTTTTTTTTGCATTTTTTTTTTATTTCAAAATAAGTGAAATAAAACTGTAAGTATTCTAAAAAAAACGTATTATAAAAAGCTAAATATAATAACAAAAGCACAAAAAATGTAAAATGTGCCCGAATATCAAAGTGACACACAAAAAAAATGAAAACAAAAGGTTATTCATATATTAGGAAAGACTATTGTAAGAAATATGAAACATTTTCTACTATAATAAAATAGTAATTGTGTAACCGTTTAACCCTCAGAAACATCAGTCTTGCTGATGAAACTATAGCAATATTATCATTTAACAATAACCAACTAGACAAATGAAATATGAATATCTTATAGATATGAATGCCTTAAACTTGAAACAAAAACAAAACCAAAAAAAAAATGTTAAGTACTAAAATAGTTTAAACTGTAGTTGAAGTAAAGTTTAATATAAATATACACTCTCTGGCCACTTTATTAGGTACACCTGTCCAACTGCTCGTTACCGCAAACTTCTAATCAGCCATGAAAGCTTGGATCCATCCTGCCTTGTTTCAATGGTTCAGGCTGGTGGTGGTGGTGTAATGGTGTTGGGGATTTTTTCTTGGCACACTTTGGGTCCATTAGTACCAATTGTGTCAACACCACAGCCTACCGGAGTATTGTTGCTGACCATGTCCATCCCTTTATGACCACAGTGTACCCATCTTCTGATCATAAAGCGAAAATCATCTCAGACTGGTTTCTTGAACATGACAATGAGTTCACTGCACTCAAGTGGCCTCCACAATTACCAGATCTCAAACCAATAGAGCACTTTTGGGATGTGATGGAACAGGAGATTCGCATTATGAATGTGAGGCCGACAAATCTGCAGCAACTGCTTGATGCTATCATGTCAATATGGACCAAAATCTCTGAGGAATATTTCCAGTACCTTGTTGAATCTATGCAACGAAGGATTAAAGCAGTTCTGAAGGCTAAAGGGGGTCCAACACCATACTAGTAAGGTATACCTAATAAAGTGGCCAGTTTGTGTGTGTGTGTGTGTGTGTGTGTATCTCTCTCTCTCTCTCTCTCTCTCTCTCTCTCTCTCTCTCTATATATATATATATATATATATATATATATATATATATATATATATATACATCTTTTATTTATTTATTTTTTATACTTTTAAGTAAAAAGTGCCATTCTACATTTCTACATCTTATTTATTTATTTATTTTTTACATTTAAAATAAATGAAAAAGTATTTTAAATAAAACTATTTATATAAAGCAATTTATAAGAACAAAAGCACAAATGTTTTTATAAATGTAACCGAAAATTAAAATGACATTGAAAATATAAGAACAAAAGCATGTTCACATTTTCATGAAATACTGATTTAATAAATATAAAAAAATTAAAACTCTTTTTTGATAATAAAATACAGTAATCTTCCAACCATTGTAATACACATTTAATACACAACAATTCTGCTAATGAAACTGTAGCAATATTATAAAATAACATTAACCAATCAAATTACAGTACGCTTCTCATCATTAAACAAACCTCAATAGATAAAATGAACCAAATACTGAGTGTCACTCATATAAAAACCACAATACATTTCACCAGACCAGAATCACATGCATGTAAAGAGAACAAGATTTGAGCTCATTCTTACCCACATATCCTGGCGTCCCACAGGCTGTAGACATGACCCCGTTATCCTCCATCTTGGACAGGCCGAAATCACTGATCATGATCTTGGAGTTTTCATCAGGGCTGTAGTAGAGCAGATTTTCTGGCTGCAGAGAGAAAAGCTTATTCAGATGACTCTACATAACCTAATATCAATCATCTGTGAGCAGTTGTTCATGAATATAGAGTTGAAGTCAGAATTAGAAGCCACCCTGAATTATCAGCCTCCTTGTATATTTTGTTCCCCAATTTCTTTTTAACAGTAAGGAGATTATTTTTTCAACACATTTCTAAACATAACAGTTTTAATAACTCATCTCTAATAACTGATTTCTTTTATGTTTGCCATGATGACAGTAAATAATATTTGACTAGATATTTTTCAAGACACTTCTATACAGCTTAAAGTGACATTTGAAGGCTTAACTAGGTTGACTAGGCAGGATAGGGTAATTAGGCAAGTTTTTATATAATGATGGTTTGTTTTTTAGACTATTAAAAAATTTAGCTAAGGGGGGTGATAATATTGACCTTAAAATTGTGTTTAAAAAATGTAAAACTGATTTTATTCTAGCCAAAATAAAACAAATAAGACTTTCTCTAGAAGAAAAAATATTATCAGACATACTGTGAAAATTTCCTTGCTCTGTTAAACATCATTTGGTAAATATAAAAAAACATTTTTTCCCATTTTGGTGTGTGTATAAATTTAGATTTGTAAATATTTTCTCCTGTTTTTTTATATATAGTCAGGGAGGTAGGAGTAGATTTTGTATTTGTATTTCTGTTATTTTGTTAGGTGTATTTAGTTTTATTAGGGTGTTTAGGTAGGGGATATCCGCTTGTTAAGTGGTGATGTGTTGATGACGTATGTAATACTGATTCCGGGTCCAAGCCGCCACTCATTTGAGTTGAGAAATCATTTGTTTATGCTCACTTTTTATTCATATCACACATTAAAGTTAATTTTATATAAAGTCATAGTGTACACAACAATCTCTGGGCTTGCTGTATTACACATACCAACATTCTAACAATTTATAAAAAAATGAATTATTTCTGGCCATTGGATATTAGGCATGGACATATATATTGCAATCATAACTTGCGAAAGTATCAAATCGCTTTGTAAACGTTTATTATTACCATTTCACGAGTCTCCCCGTTCAGTTGAATAGAGCGCTTGGACCCGGAAGCCGCTTCGCGTGACGTCACACTTAACAAGCGGATATTCTTGTTTATTATTTTGCTAACTGAAGTTTATGTATAAGTTTCCCAGAGATGGGTTGCGGCTGGAAGGGCTGCGTAAAAACTTGCTGGATAAGTTGGCGGTTCATTCCGCTGTGGTGACCCCGGATTAATAAAGGGACTAAGCCAACAAGAAAATGAATGAATGAATGAAGTTTATGTATAAATTAATTTCGAGAGGATCACGTGCTTGATTGCTAGCGGCTGGATCTGCATTATCCAATTCACAATGCTCCAATCAGACGACTCCTAAACTTCTATAAATACCCTGGGCTTCATTCCACTGCTATCTTCGTGTTGAAGAGTACCCCCTTCCACCCCTACTCCTCCTCCTTCCTAAATGGGTGACACGGTGGCCCAGTGCGTAGCACTGTTGCCTCACAGCAAGAATGTCTGTGGTTTTAAGCTTTACCAAACCAGCAGACAATTCTGTGTGGAGTTTGCACTTTCTCCCCCTGCTCACGTGGGTTTCCCCCGGATTCCCCGGTTTCCTCCCACTGTCCAAAAGCATGCAAGTTAATTGACTAATCCAAATCGGCACCATAGACATGCTCCTAGTATATAGTTATCTCCAAGAGCAATCACTTACTGTTCACTGGTTACTACAGCAGGGGAGTTCTCGAGATCTACCTGAGCTCAAACTCCCCTCCCGCCTTGCAACGGGAGGGAGCCCCGGGCTCAAGGATCTCATAAGCTTAGGGCTCTCTCCCAGGACAGCATGCCAAACAAGGTTTATAACCAATCATCAGCTAAGTGTGAACTCATGAAACATAGAAAAATGCTTCACGTTTTGGGTATTTAAAAAAAAGAAAAAAAAGAAAAAAAAACCAACCATGAGGGTTCATAAAAATTATTTAATTGTCCAGTGTTCTTTTATGTTATGTTCTTGATCCTAGACCAGGGCCATACCAATAATATTTTACTGGATATATTTCAAAATACTAATATTCAGCTTAATGAGACATTTAAAGGCTTAACTAGGCAATTTAAAGTTAATTAGGCAGGTTAGTGTAATTAGGCAATTCATTGTTTAACAATGGTTCTGTAGACCAGGGGTTCCCAAACTTTTCAGCACGCAACCCCTAAAATAACAATGCCAGTGACTCGCGACCCCCAATATCCCCTGAGGTGGTTATAAATACAGAAAACTTGCATGCAATGGCGCACACACACACCAATAGACCAAAGTCTATTCTTCGTTTAATTTTTTAAATGTATTTCAGTGCTGTAAATGGGCCAGAAAGTTTAACCTGGTGTTATAAAATCAATCTGCTGCATCTGACGCTATTGCTGTTTTTGAAATAATGTATTTACCCCAGTGGTCGCAATACAATAGAACAAGTAAATAAGCTACTATAGTAACTATAAACGGCTGTTTTTTTCTCTTCAGTTGGTTATGGATAAAATATGGTAATTCGTATGGTCTAATAATAATAAGTAGATTTTTGGAAATCACCAGGCGACCCCCCTTCATTGATCCGCGACCCCTCAAGGGGTCCCGACCCCCACTTTGAGAACCACTGCTATAGACAATCAGAAAAATATATAGCTTAAGGGGGCTACAAATTTTGACCTTAAAATGGTTTTTAAAAAAATAAAAACTGCTTTTATTCTAGCCGAAATAAAACAAATAAGACTTTCTCCAGAAGAAATAAATTATAGGAAATACTCTAAAAAAAATTCCCTGCCCTCTTAAACATCATCAAACATCAATATTAGTGAATTGGCACTGTGAAAGTGGTGCGTCTGTACCTTGAGGTCTCGGTGGACGATGCCGTTATTGTGCAGGTAGCTGACAGCCTCAAGCACCTGTCTGATAACCGAACTAGCATCCATCTCTGAGTACATGCCGCGGTCCAGGATACGATCAAACAGCTCACCGCCTGAAACTCTGATGAGACCGCAGCAGTTCAAAACCATGCTTTAAAGACAAAACCCAAAGAGTGTATATAAATAGAGGAGCTTACAGCTGCATGACGAGGTAATAATGTGTCCGACTTTCATAGAAGTCCTCCAGGCAAACCACGTTTTCATGTTTGATCCTGAGGAAAAGCCAATGAATAAGAAGTTAGAAGAATTAGATGAAGACTTTTGTTGTTTTAAAGGGGAGCTATCATGCAAAAGTGACTTTTTTAAGGGGTTTAAACAGTTGTGTGGCAACAGTAAAAAGAGCTATAAAAAGATATTGTAGCTTCATTCAGTCTTACTTTCTCAACACCGCGATTTCATTCTCAAGGTTGATGTCTCTTTTGTTCTTCTTCTTCACACACTTCATGGCGAAAAGCTTGCCTGTTTTCCTCTCCTTCACCATGAAGACCTCGGAAAAGGCTCCCCTAGAGAAAGCAGAATGGGGAAGGTCAGATCAGCAATTACCTGGGATTATGTTTATATCTGCGGATCTGAGGAAGAGCATGATCCTGGTTTATGCGACTCTTCCCTCTGAGACTAAAGCAGATTTTAATGAAGGTGAGGATGTGACCTTTTAAACCTTCAATGCCACCTGGCAAGAGAGACATTTAATGAGAGCCAGAACTGCTCGTGGCATCGCCAGCGTGTGAAAGGGGAATCAGGGAGAATATTTGTGTGTACAATTAATATTAGTGTACTGTAATTGATTTTACCAGTCAAACACATATGATAATAGATTCAAAAATCCTGTAGACTGTTATTACTGTTATATTTTCAGGTTTTATTTTAGCTTGTTTCATATACAGTTGAAGTCAAAATTATTCGTCCTCCTGTGATTTTTATTTTTCAAATATTTCCCAAATTATGTTTTATTTTATTTTATTATTATTTTTTTTTAAATAGGGAATTTTCACCTTTATTAAGATAGGACAGTAGAGATTACAGACAGAAAAGCATTGGGAGCAGAGACAGAGGGGAAAGATCGGCAAAGGACCTCAAGCCGGGAATTGAATTCAAGTCGCCGGGAGCACGTCGGTGATATATCTCGGCGCAGAGTACAACTAGGCTATTGGAGCTGACCACAAATGATGATTAACAGAGAAAGGGAATTTTAACAGTATGTCTGATGATATTTTTTTTTTGTGGAGAAAGTCTTATTTGTTTTATTTTGGCTAAAATAAAAGCAGTTTTTAAAATTTTAAGACCATTTTAAGGTCAATATTAATAGCCCCTTTAAGCTATATTTATTTTTTGATTGTCTACAGAACAAACCATCATTAAACAATGACATGCCTGATTACTTTAACTTGCCTAATTAACCTAGTTATGCCTTTAAATGTCACTTTAAGCTGAATACTAGTATAAAATATCTAGTCAAATATTATGTACCGTTTTCTTAGCAAAGATAAAAGAAATCAGTTAATAGAAATGAGTTATTAAAACCATTATCTTTAGAAATGTCTTAAAAATCTTTGTGTATAAACTTCGGCAACGTTTACATTTTTCATTCAGTTTATCTTTTCATTTGATTTAATTTTAACTTTCTTTCAATGAGCATATATATTTTTATACTTACAACAATAACTCTCAGATCGTTCAGCAACTATTTAAAAACAACCATACACTCCTGTTTTTCCCCGGAGTCTCCAGTATTTCCTCCCGCCAACCTCCCGTTTGTTATTTCTCCTGGAAAACTCTTGCAATTCTTGGTCCTACTATCTTTTTGGTACAGTCTCCAACACCTTACTCCCAACCCACCTCGTTCATCATCTTTAGTATCCGCTTGTTAAATGTGACGTGGCTTCCGGGTCCAAGCGCTCTATCAAACTGAATGGGGAGACTCATTAAATAGTAATAATAAATGTTTACAAAGTGATGTAACACTTTTGAAAAATCATGATCGCTATATATATATATATATATATATATATATATATATATATATATATATATATATATATATATATATATATATATGCCTAATATTCGATGGCTAGAAAGTGATAATTTTTTTTTTATAAATTGTTTAAATTGTGGTATTTGTGATGCAGCAAGCCCAGATACTGTTGTGTACACTATTATTTTATTTAAAAAACTTCACTTTAATTTGTGACAGGACTAAAAAGTGGCCATAAACAAATATTTTCTCAATTCAAATGAGTAGCGGCTCGGATCCAGAAACAGTATTCTATACGTCACCACTTAACAAGCGGATAGTATCCAATTGCTGCTGCCATCACCCGAAACCCTGTCCATAGTAAATTTATCACCACCACAAACACCCCCCAGTGTTTAATCAGACAACACCCACTATATATTTCTGTTTATTTTAAGTTCAAAATATAGTTAATAAATGTTTTTAATTAAGAGCTCAACTAAGAAATATTTGCTTTGATCAATGTAAAATTTGGGTGGCATGGTGGCTGAGTGAGTAGTGATGTCTCCTCACAGCAAGAAGGTCGCTAGTTCAAGCCTTGGCTGGGTCAGTTGGCATTTCTCATGTGTTAGCATGTTCTCCCCATGTTCATGTGGGTTTCCTCCAGTTTCCCCCACAGTCTAAAGACATGCGCTGATTGGGTAGGCTAAATTGACCATAGTATATGCATGTGAATGAGAGTGTATGGGTGTTTCCCAGTGATGGGTTGCAGCTGGAAGGGCATCCACTGTGTAAAACATTTGCTGGATAAGTTGGCGGTTCATTCCACTGTGGCAACCACAGATTAATAAAGGGACTAAGCCAAAAAGAAAACGAATGAATAAGCCAATGTAAAATTTTAAGGTTATTCACACAAGCAAGACAAGTGTATGCGTATTAAACAGAAACTCAATATGCTTTGAACTTTCATAGACTTAAATATCGATTAAGGCAAATTATTTAGTTTTCATTGGCTCAAGTGATCAAATGTAGATGTGAAATCATCATTCTACATTTTTTTAATTGGATGAATGAACATTTTATGGAAATTGTTGTTTTAATTGAAAGCTATTTCTTCTCGTTTAGTATAAAAAGAGACTTTAAATTAATTGACTTTCTTCAACATGACAAATACGCTTTGTATTAGGTTTTTTAAATTGTTCTCATGGAGATATAATGAAATAATGTTTAAAGCAAATTATTTATTTTTCATTAGGTCAAGTAATAAAATTTAGATTTAGATCATTACCCTATTTTTTTCATTGAATGAATAAAAGCTTTTTTTCCAGTGTAATAACTGATTTCTTTTATCTTTGCCATGATGACAGCACATCATAGTTGACTAAATATTTTTCAAGACAGCAAAAGTGACATTTAAAGGCTTAACTGGGTTATTTAGAGTACTTAGAGTAATTAGGCAAGTCATTGTATAACGATGGTTTGTTCTGTAGAAAAAATAATATTGCTTATGAGGGCTAATAATATTGACTTTAAAATGGCTTTAAATAAAATTAAAAACTGCTTTTACTGTAGTCGAAATAAAACAAATAAGACTTTCTCCAGAAGAAAAAATATTATAGGAAATACTGTGAAAAAATTCCTTAATCTGCTAAACATTGTTTGGGAAATATGAACAGGAGAGCTAATAATTTTAACTGTACATTTGAATTGTAGTAGCATCAAGGAAGTCACTTCAGAAGATCTCCTGAAGGACTTAATTTTGTTTTCTCCACATTCCCCTCGGCTGTAACCTGGAATAGCTGTCCTGGGACGAGGATTACATGTGAAATCCCTTACGCAACGGAAATGCTATGCAGGTGCTTGATAAACAAGCAGGTCATCAGGAGCACCAGCAGAAAGAGGCTAGGCTACAATTACTGAGGGATTGATGAAATAAGACAGTCTTATCTGCGCTATAAAGAACATCTGCTTAGATTAAACATGCTGCCACTGGTTTACCTGCTGCAAAGCTTCATATTATTCATCTAATACTCTTATCGCATGACTTATCTGCAAATCATTTCACAAGCTAATGTTTTCACATCAACATCTTAGTATGAATTAAGATTTTTTTTAAATAAAATACTGTATATGGTATTAAGATTTCTTAAAGAATATTGAGATTAACTTGGGACATATCATGGCAAACAATAGATAATTATTTGAACTAAATCTAATATTTCCAAAACAGGATTTACTACTTTAAATCAGGGGCGCCCCCAAGGGGTGGCCAGGGGTGGCCACGGCCACCCCTCGGTAAACTCTGGCCACCCCTTTGGCCACCCCAATATAATTTTGCTGTTGACATTATTGATTTAAATTATAAATTCCCAATGTTTAAATAAATAAAATGCAGCCACTAAATTATTGTTGGTGTTACTGACGTAGCTGATTCATTGTCTCTCCCCCTTAGTGCTGGTTCAATGCTGAATGCTGGCGAAAGCAAACTGACGCATGCGCGCAGAAAACCATTCCCGCGCGCCTCACGCACTTATGTGTGAATCCCGGTTGGTTGTTTGCAAACGCCAACAAAATACGCGCCGCTCATGCGCCTCGAAGCGGAGTAACAACCTTTTGTGCAGAGGTGAAAGTCGACTAAAGTTTATATAATATGATGATGATGATGATGATGATGATGATGATGTTACTTTCACTAAGCATGCCTTTAAAGCAGAAAGGAGGGATAATGAGTCAGGGAGGTAAGACTTCATAACATGATTTCTCAGCCATGATCTCGTCTAAGACCACAGATAATTCTATAATACATTTTTTGTATTCTTTAGAATTGTCATAATTAATATTCATGCAAAAGGTTTCTCAAGTGATTTTGGCATATCACTCCTGTTGTTTTCCAGTAATATTTAGGATTGATTTCTGTTATTTATTTAGAATAATAATTGTACAATAATAATATAAATGTTATTTATTTAAAATAAATATAATTAAATTGTTATATTTATTGAATAACAAATCTAACAATTCAAGGGAGGTGGGGTGTATAGGGTGGTTCGCCCAGGCCAGGGTGTCATTTAAACTAGAACCACCACTACCCTTCCCGATCGTCGTTGACAGCACGCACACACCTTCACTAGACAGCAATGGCAATTTAATATTTACCTTAAGGTACAGTATATCAATAGAAGAAACTGCATTAATAAAATGGCTCAAAAAGCAATATGGATAAATGATATTATTAGGTATAGTGACTGTGTATAGTAATGCCTTTTGTTCAGTTTTTTCATTTGTTTGGGTTATTAATAAACTCATTATTCTTTCATTCATTTTCTTTTCTGCTTAGTCCCTTTATTAATCCAGGGTCGCCACAGTAGAATGAACCGCCAACTTATCTAGCACATTTTTACACAGCAGATGCCCTTCCAGCTGCAACCCATCTCTGGGAATAATAAACTCATTAATCTCCATTAATTTTAGAAATGACATATACCGTATGATGTACAATAAAAGCACGTAAAAAGTTATTTATACAATATATATATATATATATATATA